AAAGGCAGTCGTGCTTGACCAGGCTTTGTGGATAATCATCACTTCAGACCCCACATCCATCTTTTTCACCGTCACTGCTCTGCTCTTCAAACCCTTCCAATCATCATTGCTGACCTCCTGCCTGTTTGCACCTCACTCATCCCTCTGGGACCCCCTCCCCATCTCCGATTCAACCAAGCATCATGGGGCATTGTAAAACTCGTCCGTGCGATCTTGGACGACAAAGCCGGGCCCGTCCAGGTTCTCTTGCATGCACGATGACGGACAGCCTGGTGGAGCAGTGTGAACCATTGACGGGCACTGTCATGTGAGCCGTGCCCAGAACCGGTTGACTTTCCAGTTCTACCAGGCGGTGTGAGGTTCTACCAATATGGTCATAAAGCTATGAAACCAGGAAGTAGACAACTAGGAAATCTTGATGCTCATGTGTCTAGCTATGAGCCAGCCGTATGAGCCGTGAAGCCACGACCCAAACTTTCAGCCTCATATTGGAGACCAGACCTTCAACTCTGAGAGCTGAACAAAGGAACACCTTGGAGCGTTGCCATCAGCTTGTTGGAGCACGTCGTTGATTCAGCATCTAGACAAGCAAAGCGCAAGGGCGCGGAAGACACAGGACCGGAAGACTTTAGGAGAATGTGGTCTGTCGTTTCGAATCGCACGGATGGGACATTATCACCTTATCAACACTCACCACTTGACAGTTAATAATCTAGAGATTTCTTGAAGACAGGTTATGGCAGTAAATCTCAGAGCCACATGAACTCCAAATGTGAAATCCAGTCCAGATTCTGCATTATTGAATTTCTGGTGTTCCTGATGGAACGGTCTAAAAGGAAATGTGGGCGAGGGAAGGAGCGGAATGACAGCATGAGATGAGCCGGGCAGGAATAAATATGATTCCTTTTACTTCTTCCTCAAGTTGAGCAGATTGGAGGTTCCCAAGCATCAGCCAAGAGCCCTCAGCTCTTGTTGCTGCCGGTGTCTCTATGAGTTCCGCCGGCTTTGACCTGCAGATCGAGGTTCATTGCTGCAATCCGAATTCCCATTCGATCAGCTGGACGCTGTTCAATATCGCCTTGGCTGGAATTCAATATGGAGTCAGTAATTATTCAAAGAGTTTGATCTCAAGAAAAGGAGGTCCCGAACTTGCAAGTGTTCACACGCCTCCATTGCCTGCACGTATCAGATTGCAATTTCATTTTACTACTTTATTGATAGATATGTCTGTCTTTTCTCCACTCATTTCTTTGCTATCTGCAATTCTCTTTGGTAATGCCTTGTGTCCCAGAAATCCAGGATTATGCCATGGGACGCTGCAAAGCTGGAATGGATTCTTAATGTTAGACATTTTGGCAGTTCATACGACCAAATATAGAAAGGAAATCGAACCAATAAACAACAACACCCCAGCTGAGAGTAAGCAAAGAACGATAAATGAAAAGATAAATGACAGAAGATCAGATCTTAAAGTCAAGGATTTTACAGATAATATAGAATCGGATTATGAAAGAGAGATATAGAAATATAATGCATGTGGAATAAGATCATGATATAAAAGCCAGGTGATGGACATCTTCATATCTATTACTATTACTGCACTTTCAATTCATCTCTTTTCCAAGTTCTTCCAACCAACACCATTCTGGAGGCGACATTATGCGGAAAGAATGGGATGATGAGGAAGGGAAGAGAGATGTAGGATGAGATGAGAAAGGAAAAGGTATTCATTAGCAGAGTCTTGGACATCTCGTCCATCCATTACTTGCCTGCCAATATAATTCTCTCCAAGATATCCACTGCAAGCCAAATATTAATAAACATGTCTTAGAGAAGAGCTTGATTGATGGGCAATAACCAGGATGAAAAGGTAAGGACAAACAAAATGAATAATTATAGATTACACGGACAACGGGTAAGATCCGAGATTCACCACCGAACAATTATTTATGTTTGTGTATAAATAGATTTGGTTGCTCATGAAGTCAATCGCTCAGGTACTTCCTCCCTTTATCCATGCCAAGCTTCTTGAGTTGACTTTAGGTTGGTTGTCTTGTCCAATTACTTTCTCCTTTCATTGTAATCCATCTCTCTCACACCTTTGGTAGCTTGGAAAACCTGATAATATTAGTTGAAATCTCCTAAACATCCAAATGCGCAAATAAGATGAAGATCGCTTTGGGTTCAAAATGCCCATCAATTGCTCATCCTAAGCCAGCCAGCTCTCCAGGATCACTTCGGAAGTTGGCGAACTTGAAGCGTACCCTCTCTCTCTCCCTTAACTTCCGAGTTTCGTGTGAGCTCCATGGTTTCAGTTTTGATCCGCATCCACTCACAAACTCACAAGCAGCCCTAGGCCTACCGTGGTGAAGCGCAAGGAGATCTCGCTCCAGCATTTGCCTCGGGCGCAAGCAGGTGTCCGCAGATTGTCTTTCTTGATGGTAGCATGTTTGGCCTCGTTTAAAAAGAGACAAAAGGAAAAACCACCAATTCCGGAAGGCGGGGATTGCCTCTATGTAGAGACAAGCACATATCTCATGTCCAGTGTGGGAACCGCAGATTTTGATCGTGGCTGCCATGCGAGCTGTTCTGGGAGCGGCTTTTGTGGGCCTTCTTAGTGGACGAGTAATCCTCAAAGGACTTACCTGGTGCCGCTTGCTAGCCAGTGGATGGCAAAGCAAGGAGAACAACATGAGCTCTGCCCCTGGTCGGACCCAAGGTGATCAAAATGGACCAAAACGGGATAAGCAAAAGGTCAAGGATTCGCTTTGGGCAAGTGAGTGAAGTAAAGTTACCCTGGCCAAATAAATGCTACATAAAACCCCTTGAATCGTGTATATCTGATATGCCAAAACCAATTGGCTCTTGGGGGCTCGGCCAGTCCTTTGCCGCCTTACAGCGATGTGGGCATGAATCTTAATTCGGGACCCTTCGGTGGACACCATTTAGGTGGGGATTTATGTCCACCGATCACTTTTCGGGGGGCTCCCCAGTAAAATTCATAGCCATGTGTGTGTGTGCGTGTGCGGGTTTATGTACCGCTTGAAGGGCTTCGATTCCAAGATATTTCATGAACACACCGCGCCCACAAGCTGAGGATAGACGTACACGAGGAGCACAGCTGACTTTGATAGACGTGCCACACCGACCTGCTCCGATCACTGGCCGAAGAAGTGGTTTAAGTTGGTTGGCCCTTCACTAAGATGATGAAGGAATCTACTTCCCAAAAAGCTTCAAAACAAGTTCTTTGGCCCAAAAACCGTTGAAGGTTGCCACCTCATTAAACAGGTCAGCACAAGAGCAGACCTGCCCCCCACCTGCCCAGCCAGCATCCATCCCTCTCAGGGATATTTTCGCCGCTCGAGGTGCATGTGTGCGGGCACAGCATCCGGGCCATGATGCCGCGGCCTGTGGCGTCCGGACCGACGCCTCTTCTCTGGATGCCATGGCCTTGACATGTTCCTCACAGGATGGCATCCAGTTCCTCAAAAGGACACCTGAGAGAGAACCCCATTCTTTTAGGTTGGGTTCCCAAAGCATGATTTCAATATAAGATATGGTGGTTGAAACAGCCTTAAAAAAAAAACAGAGGCTGTTTGAGGTCCGGAGATGAACTCCTAAACACGGCCCTCGGGCCCTGGGTGCATTTAGGTGTTCATCCAAAATCCAAAAGGAATCCCCAACTGTTCGAACCATCCTCTGCTCGGGCAGCGGCACTTGGAGCAAGATAGGCCCACCGACCCAAACCACCATTGTTCTACTTTCAAAATGACGAAACAAGTGCGACTTTGTGATCAAAAGCAGCTTTGAAGCATTGACACCAGCAATCCCTCCACATGTCTTGCCTGAAGCTCAACCCTGCCTCGCTACAACCGCAGGGCTGGGACCCAAGACAGGCCTGAGGGCTCGCACTCATAGGGCCGGTCTAGACCCTCCCTCCACCCACTCGCCCAACTCCCCCCTGACCCCCCTGACCCCCCTGACCCCCCTGACCCCCCTGACCCCCCTGACCCTTCCCCCCCCCCGACCCCTTGCCCCCCCCGACCCCTTCCCCCCCCCCCCCTCCGACCCTTCCCCCCCCCCCCGGCCGTCGTCCGGCTCCCAGGAGGTCTCCAAGGAGATGGAGGCGCAGTACTGCTCCACTTGCTCGCACCCGGGCAAGGGGTTTCTCGTGATCTGCCATCTCGATCGATCCATCGATTGCAGGATGTGTGGATGTTTTGATTTTCTCCCACGGCGGTCAGCGACGGAAAAGAAGTGCTCTGCAACCTTTAGAACCCAAAAAAGGAGGTCTCCTGGAAGGAAACTCCTCCAAGGTAGTGTTTTCCGGGGTTCCATGGTAAACTAGACAATCAGCTCCCACCGATCCTTCCTGATACTGACGCATTCGTGACTGGCCTGTTCTCTGCATGTGCTGCGCATGACACCAGGACTCAAACACAGGGGGGTCTTGAAGCTTTGCAGTTGTGAGCGCTCCAGCAAGTGCTGTGACCATGTCTTTAGAGGGGCTTGGTATTGGCCCTTCATCCAGAGTCTATCATCAGCCACCACATCAGTGAGCACGGCACATCAGAGACCATGCTGGACAGGCCCCCAGCTGGCCCCGCCTACCATGTGAAATCACTTACGCCTTCAAAGCCGCCAACTGCTATTACCTCAACGGCTTAGCATTTGCCAGCCAAACTTTGCGGTTTGGGGTCAGCCGCTTGCTGACGCGTGCATCTCTTGCGGCAGGAAAAACTGGCAGACTGCAAAGGGGTGACTCGGACGAAACCCCGCAGCCTGAAACCGGCTGGGAAAGTCGTGTCTAGCAGCTTCTGAACCAAGCACGAACCCAAAGTTTACCAGGCTGCAAGTAACGTCCAAAGGATACAGGAAACTCGGCCCAAACATCCCGAAGCCAGGTAGAACCACCGTCACATGACCAACTCGCGGAAATTAGGCGAGGCTCAAACGCAGTCAACTCCCTTGACATAGTCGGCCGGTGACTTTTCAGGGCCCTATTCTAGCCGCGCCTTGGACATGTAGTACCAGGCAGGGTGATCGGCCTCGATGTCCTGCGGACGGCACTCTCTTTTGGGAGGTCCAAGTCTCCGGTCCAATCCAACGGGTTTTACCAAAGTCCAGGGATCGTCGAGTCGCCACACAAACGTCCTGAGCTGAAAGCATCTGAGTGGCCACCGTCTGGTGCCTTTGCGAAACCCGAACGAAGAAGTCGCCTCCTGGGCACCTTTTGCTGCTTGCGTGCTGGAAGTCTGGGCCAAATTCAATGTGCTTCCCTGCGCATCAATGCTTGACTGCTTCGGTTTCAAGCCAAAGCCGTAGAACCACAAGAAGGGGCAGATCTGAAAATAGATCTTGAAGCCCGGGTGAGTGAAATTGCCCTCACGCATGCCATATAGAAACGTCAGAGCTACTTCCTGCCGAGCTTCTTTCCTTGCCAAACAAATGTGTTGCTTTACGTTCTGGATTAGATTTGCTGGAAATATGCCCAATGTTGCTAAGCATTATTGGGCTTACTGGACAACCAACAGACCAGGAGGAAACAAATCAGGCAGAAGATACTGAGCATGCCGAAACATGTCCCTCGGAACTTTGCTGTTTTGCAATCCAGGTTGCTTGGTTTTTGTGGGTGAGTGACTTCCGACCGTAATTGACGAGGTGCTTCATGAGTTTGAAAGAATTGTTTTAAATACGAGCTCTCAAACTAGTACTGCAATAAGCCCTCCAAACCGAAAGACCAAGGAAAACCACAAGGTATCGAGTATGGCATTGCAGAGCTATGCCCAAATCGGCTCATTCTGAATCAAGGTGGCTTCAGGTGGGCACCGGACCATCTGACCAAGCGGACAGCAAGGAAGCATGAATCCAGGCGTTGATTCCCCATTCTTTTCAATCATCGTTCTTTTCAAAACCTGCCGTTATCCTTGGGTTTAAGGAGGGATCCTTGGAAGAATGGGGAAGGTACCGCTAGAATGAAACGCTCAGAGCCATGCCCTTCTCTACCTGCTCGCCTTGAGAGGCGAGCGTCTCTCTCTAAGACGTTTCGCTACCTGTCAGGGGCACTTTTCCCTCAAACGTCCGCAACACTGGGTCCATGAAAACCTGACCCTCCGAATTTGGCGGCTTCAAGGGAGACAAATGCAGCCAAATGTGGTTAGACCCCCGAAACCTCCACTTCACTCGGGACCGGTGCAAACAAAGAAAACGCAGCGGTCACTTCTGTCCTGGCACAGGGGCTGAAAGGCATCCAACGTCTCCTGGAAGCTCAGCTTCTGCCAGCTGTCCAACTCCCGGAAGCTGTTCTTCCACACCGACAGCCTAGCCGAAGCCTTCGGCCCCAGAGGGGACCCCATGGGACCCCAAGAGGGTTTCGGATTGTCCCTTGAAACCACCCAAACAAGGGGTACCCTCAAAAGCGACACTCCCATCTCTGACCCTTTGGCACGCACCCTTTATACCCCAAAACGGGGACTCCTGTGTGGTCAGTTCGGGGTTCATTAGTTTCAGTTTGGTTCGAATCGTTTACCAGGCAGGAAAGCGGGCGACCAAATATAATGGCCCGGAGTTAGCTTTGCTGTTTTGGGCTCGGTCAACATTGTGAGAGGCCAGCATGTGCACCCCTCGCCTCCACTAAATGCGTTTGCTTTACAAAGGTCTCCCCCCGATCGGTTCAGGACTCTCCGGCCGCACACCAAATCCCTTGGTAAGTTCGCCATGATTTGCCCGCAATCCTTTGGAGGAAAAAGAAAAGGACTTAATCCCCCCCCCATCGTGGGCTGCGTTATATCGATCCATCGCATCCTCAACTCCCGCCTCGACCTGGCGCGGCCGTTCTCCACGGCATCCCCCACCACGATGGCCGCCGTGTTGTGCTCCTCGGCACACCGCTCTGCTCGCTCGGCGCGGTGTTTTTTTTCCGCTCTGGGCGAGCCGCAAAAAGCCGGTCGCTAAGTTGAAACTAAAAACTGTCTTTGCTTGATGCAAGCAAAAAAAAGTCCTTGCTTGCTCTCTGCCTGCCATGTGTCAACAACTCTTTACACCGCTTGCCTGAAGCGACAGGCATCCTCAATCCAGTACAAGAGGGGGAGGCTCAGTAAACTGCTCCACTGACCGCAAGAAAGCTCTTGCAATGTTGGGCTTTTCTCAACGTTGTAGGCCGTCCTGTGCATGTGTGTGTATGTGTGTCACCTGTGCCTGCGTGATACCGTGTTTTTTGGTCACGCCTCTGTGTTTGTGTATGTTCCCGTGCTTTTGTGCCCTGTTGTCCGAACGAATCTTGGCCAGGCACAAATCTTGCGGTCCTGATCCGGACGAACCTAACCTGATTCGCAACAACAAAAAACGCGTTCGACGCAGGTCGCCATGGACTCGTTCTCTTAGGCTACTGCCCCTTATAGGGACCCAAAAATGAAAGGCTGCCCTTGGGGGAACTAAAGCTGGACCAAAACGGGAGAACCAAAAAGTCATTTGCCATGTTTAAGAAATCCACCATATCCTCGGGGAAAAATGAGGGTCCCCAACCCTAGGAAGAATCTTTCGGGGCTAGGGAGGTCCTAAGCTGAGAAACCCCCGGAGGTCCGAATGCCGCTCCCAAATCCTGAGATACGCTCTCTCAAAATGGGCAGGGGCCGGGGGGGGAAGGGGGGGGAGAGGTGGGGGAAGATGGTGGCTTTCCTTACAGGCGGTTGGCTCATGGCCTTCCCGCGGCGCGCCTGTCACGCCCCGGCCTGCCAACAAAGCCATGACACACCCGCCCGCGTTACCGAAGACACTGGATGACTTTGCCTGCTTTCGTGTTTGGTTTGTGCTACAGTCTGACGGGACCCATGATGTTCATCTCGCTGCTGTACAAGGGCAAGATGACCTCCTGTCGTGGCCTGCTGTCATGCCCAAGCCTGGCACAACAATCAGGGTGTCTCTTCCTGGTCTCTGGACCACGGGTTTATATGATCACTCAGGTGATTCTTGCCTGTGCATATTCAAGTGCTTCGCTTGTGCGGGTGGTCCAGCCCTCTGGAAACCAACCTCGGATGCTTTCGTGTCAGCCGAACCTCCGGGAACTCCTTGCAAAGCGGTCAAGCATGCGGCTCCTTTTTGTGGAGCTTTTGCTGGTTGGTCACATGCAGTACACCTCTTGCAGAAGCAGAGTGTCCAAATCAGGACCGTTGCAGCCCTGGACTTGGAGGAATCCACCATCAAAAGCTATTGTGTCTCATTTGGACCCACATGCTTTTCGCCGGGCACACCTGTGGGCTCATTCCTGCATCTACATGTCGCTCCGCCCTTTGCTTGGCATGCTGGCACAAGTGATAGATATCGGCAGCATGCATTCTCGCCATTGCAGTGTGATCTTTGGTCTGTCAATTGCCCTTGTGTTTCTTGGAGTCAATCGGGACGAAAGCAAGGATTGCATAGTGAAGGTGGCCGTGTATTGATTTGTACCACTGCCAATGCGGCTATGTCCAGACCGCTAGCCATCTGCTGTGAACAAGGAGCAGAATTCCAGTCGCACCCGGATTGCGAAATTGTTGCCGACCTCTGGCAGCAAGCTGGCTTTCGTATAAACAGAGAAGGAGTGTTCGACCTCCAGGAGGTTGGTCCTGTCAGGAGGAGACGCTATCTCTCGGTCTTAGTGCGCAAAGTCCTGCCGTGCGCACCAGGGATCAATGTGAGCAAGTGGACTAGCCTTGGCCCCTTCACGCCTGCTTCTGAAGGTGCCATGATTGAGATACCAGCAAGCTTGGAGAACCAACTTCTCCCAGGCCGGATGTTCTTAAGTTGTACTGGAACCCGGAGCTACTGCCAAGGACAACAAGCGAAAAATGAGCTGACCCAATGCTGATTAAGTGAGGCTCAGCAGACCAAATCGCACACTGGCTTTGCACCCGGTGATGTAACGTGTGGTTTTGTCGTGTGTTAACCCAGCCATTCCCTTGACGCCAAGCGGCGCACTCTTGGCCCCCAATTGGACCAAGCAGGTGCCTTTTCCTCGGGGCAAATAGCTGCCCTGGGGCAGTTAATGCATATCTGCAGCCAACTCAGTTTGGTCTTAATAACAGACCCTGAGGCTATGCTTATGGCACTGCCTTCTCAATATGTCGCAGTCTATGTTTGACTTCGACCTTGTAGTATTGGGTTTTGCCTCTTCCTCGCGCATCTGTCGCTTGAGGGTTGACAGTGCGGACTGTCCGTCTTTGCTTCGGCGGGGGGCGGGCAGTGAAGTCAAGCGTGACGGTGGCTTTCCTTATGTTCCTGTTCAGTTTCCCTGAAACCATCACGAAACAGACCCAGTTCTACGCTCCCGACTCATCAGGCCAAGTGTCCACTGCAGTCTCCATATAGGGCGTATTCGCCGAGTAGATGCGCCTCGAACGGCCCCCACACAGGAAATGAGAGAATGACCCCTAAAAACCATCCCCTCCTAGGTTTATTCCCAACACCTGGGTCATTCCCGACAGAGCACCAGCAGGTTCCTTAGGAGTCCTTGGAATTGTCTCAAATCCCCGGTCTGATGACCATGTCTATATACCAACACTGAGCGAGGAGGTGTTTTGACCATCGCCTGAAACCTGAGGGAATGCATGGAAGCCTGTGACGCTGGCGAGCGTGAAAAAGGGGTGGCACCCAACACGCAAACTCATGTGCATCGTTCGCTGAATCAAGGAACATCACCTCCAACATGGCTGACTTGTTGGAAAGATATTTTGCTCCGGGATGTGCCACCAAGAAGCTAACAAGCCAAGAAGCCAATGACTTTTGTCGGCGGGGCGCAGGCGAAGGATCATGCGCCGCGACACGACCGGATGTTGGACCCCCTACCCCAACATAAATCTGATGTAAGGTCACTGGGCCAAAACGGTATGTTTCAACTAACATGAAGCGAGTGGGTTTCAGAGTGTTTGCTGGTAGGTTGCTATGCTGCAGGTTTGCTTCTAGGAGTTAGTTGCTCTGCTTACTGGGTGTGCAACTTAAACAATCCCCGGGTTCGTCGCCTACACATCAATATATATATATATATATATGGCAGCCGATAGATGCTTCATCACACACGTTGCCTCTGCCTTCAAGGGGTTTGCAAGAAAAAATCCCACTCAACACACTGAGGCAGAATGGAAGACCGCAAAGACATGGAAGATCGTGTCCCACACACCCTGCGAAGCCATCAGTGACTGAGATCCAAATCGTGGAACCAAGAGGCGTAGGCGCCATGACCACGATTCGCCTGAGAGGTGTGGGACCAAACCTTGGCTCCTGCAACTTCCGTTGGGTCGGGCTGGCCGAAAAAGGCTGTCACTTTGCTTGCCACTGAAATGGTCTTCTCCCCCCCCACCCCCACCTAGCAAAGAAAAGAAAAGAAGAAATCGACTTGGAAGTGAGCAGAAAAACTGCGGAAGTTGAACGAAACTTCGAGCCTCGGATGTTTGGTCAACTCTGATGAGTTCCAACTAACCCCTCAGCAATCTACATCACCGTCTGATTGGCATGCGTTTAAATCCACAGCCGGCTGCGAATCTACAAAGTTGCGCACACGGGTATGATTGTACAAGCTCTCTTCAAAAACTGCTGCTTTTGGCTTGTGCCAAGGAAACAGGCCAGCAGCTCACACAAATTCCCGTCAGCGTGTCCCTTATTTGGACAAATGTTGTGGCACGAGTTTCTCCACTGTGAAACAGCACAATACAAAGGGTTCTTTGCCGGTCCTGGCTTGCTTGGTCTCACAACATAATGCAGGCTCCTAAGTTCAGCGAAATGTTAATTTGATGCTTCGCTTTAAGTAAACGATCACCGGCCCTGCATGGCACAAGTAGACAACATGGCAATCTTCTCACATTCCCAAAAGCTGCCGGCATGTGCGATGGTATGCCACGAGTTTCCTCCTTTCCAGTTTCCCGTGCCCTGAAATGCCTCAAAATCCAGGTTATGGAGCCCTGAAAATGACACATTCAACGCAACACAAAAAAGGTGGATGACTAGGAAGAAGAAACAACATCCCCAAGACAAATCCTTCCTCATGTTGCCCCAAAGTGAGCCTGCTTCAAAGGAAACTGCGCAGGATATAAGCCCAACAATTCATTTGGCAATATCACTGCCTGCACATTGTGCTGTAGCCATTTGCCTCGATTTCTAAATTACATTTCAATGATGAGTCTAGGGCACTGGACACAACTGCTTGTGTGGGGGTTACAGTGGGTTCTCAAATTCTCTGCAAAGGGATTGATGACCGTCCCTGCCACAGCCAAGCAGAAGGGAGACTTGACCATGGCACACATATGCCATGTTTGCAACAATCTCCGAGGGTTCCGGCAATAGGTAATCCCCGGCAAGGGCCTTTATGGGGCAAGCTTGTTTTACCCGCGAATCGGTGAGCTCGTCGTAAAATATGGCAAAGACATGCACTGCCCCGATCCTTGGTCCCGATCCCGCCTTGCATCCTCCACCCACACAAAGTCTCGGAATCCGCCACACAGCTTCTCACTGACCTCCTCGGTCCCAATGAACCCAACGAAGCCTCAAACTATGGAATTAACTTTGGGTGAAACATCCCATGTTTGAAAATGGGGCAAGGCTCTAGATAAGAATTGGCTTGTGGGGTATTCATAGGAAAATGCTGGTATTCATAATTATGCATATTCCTGCAATGCATGGGAGGCGATCAGAGATCAGAGGGCTTTGAAAAGGCCCCAAACATCAACTTTGGAAAGTGGGTTAGGTGACCTTTTGGAAAAAGTCCATAGAGATCCATAGAGACTGATACCAGTGGAATCAGTCGAATTCTCAGCCAAACTGACCCACGGGCACCCGTGGTCTAGCATCGACACCGAAACACCACGCATGCGCGTCAGAAGGTTGGTCTGGCTCACATCCTTCAATCAGTTTTGGTTGACTGCAAGCGCCACCAACGTCTGTTACGGCCAACTGTCGGCATTTCGGCCGAGCGCAAACCGCCCCAAAGTCGCCAAGCGCACACGATGCCTGAGTTGTTTGGAGTTGTGTGTCTCAAAGGAGCTTGGAAGCCTGATTGCCATTGTCACGCGTTCAGCTTTCGCGGAACTTCGAGGAACAATCGAAAGGCTAGACCCGCAGCAGAGGTGCACAACCACATCCACCCCGACCCCGCCCCCTGTCCCCGGCAATGTCAGAAGATGCTTCCGGCAAACTGACATGGAACATCAAAAAGGGAAGTGGTGCATCTTGTCAAGCAGGACTTTCGTTCTATAGATTAGTTCCTTCTCCTTTCCTCACAAACAGCGGTCACACTTGGTCACTTGGTAGGCAATCCACCTTGGGGAGTGGAGTGCCCCAATTCCGTTTCTCCATTCCCCACTGGCAAACAGAACCATGAGTCCGTCTCCCAGAAATGGATGGTACATTCCTTTGGCTTCCTTTGAAGAACCACAAGAAAAGGCGTACCCTCCAAAAGAAAGAGAACAAGTTAGTACATCCTGGGCCCTCGGTTTCTGAACCCAAGCGCTTCTCTCATGATCTCATGATGAATTTCCCACAAAAAAAGAAACGACCGACCCAACTGGAGTTGCTTGCTTGCAGGGGTACCCCATCCCACCCTTCAAGCCGCCCGAGGACTGAGGCCAGCACTTCGATGTCCGCCAGCCTGCGGGCTTTGCCCTCCCACGACACACGGGGCGGGCAAAATGGCCGCACCCCCATGGGAGAAAAGCAGATTCGGTGGTTCTCCAAGCTTGTGGGTGGGGAACCCTTTGGCTTCCCCTCGAAAAATACCAAAAGTTTTGGTCCCTGATGTTGAGAAACACCCAGCTGCTTGCAAACACCCAGCAAGTCTTTGGAATTCAGAGCACAACATACCACAATTGCTGGGTGAAGATCCAGAGCACAGGCCAGGCAAACATCAACTTCTCCGCGCACATCCAGACATGCGAGACTCCCACCATCCTTCCACACGCCTTCGGACAAGTGCGCAAATCGGAAAATAACTTGCTGACCGAGCGGCATGGGAGCTAAGAGCGTGGCGTAGACCAACACGAGCGCGATCGGCACGGCCAACAGCATACCTTGGCTTTACTCTGATAGAGCCTGCCAACACCCCCGAACCCAGCTGCAGCCCATTCCCATGTTGCCCTTTCGGACGCGCCGCACTTAAAAGACGCGCTCTCATGCATGTAAACGGACTGGCCGAAGACTCGATTCTGCCGGACCACCAAGGAGGACAAACACTCAAGAAATAGTTTTCAACCTCTGTGCGCCCCCTGTCACTTTCGTGGCCCACAAACCTACACCTTTCGGTGAGGCCAGCAAAGATGGGCCCAACTTCTTTGGCAACTGGGCAGCGGGAAGCCGCCAGTCGTCGCCCAGAAACCCAAAGAGGGATGACACCCCCCCCAAGGTACGGGGAACAAACCGCTGGGGAACAAACCGCTGTTTGAATGCGCTCGGGCTGCAGAAGGCTTTCACATCCAAGCCCTTCCTCCGAGGGATGTTGGGCAGCTGGATGGGCTCCAGGGTGTTCATCAGAAACCTGTGCAGACTTGCATGGCTTCCTGTGCAGACATCCATGCTCCATTTCCCACAATCGGACTTAAGTCTACTCTCCCACCAACCAACATGAATTCCACCGGACGGTCTCGTTTAGAGGAGAATGATCTTCAAGCACCTCCGTTCCATGCTATGTGGGAGGCCACCTACTCAAATCATAAAACCAACTCTGGAGGTCCACGCCTGGCAGGCGTGGAAGCAAGGCTCTTGAACATCAGGTCGTCCACGTTCAGCACGATTTCCAACGCGATGCCTCGAGGTGCCCCGGTCAACCCGCCCAGAAAGTTGGGAGCAGGGTGGGCCATCTTGAACGTGTTTGGACCACAACCAGTTAACCAAGCTCCTTTGGGTGTCCCTTGAAAGGGGACTAGAGTTTAGCTGTCTTAAACAAGCTTGGCCCAACCCTGGGTGGAAGACCTGCTTTCTCAGCTCAAGGGTCAATGGTTCCAAACGTCGGCGGAACATCTGTTGGAAGGTGCGCTTTCTGTGCCATTCAACAAGGTGGCTTCCAGAACGGGACAGCATATGAGCAATCAAGAAGGTCCCCCTCCCCACCTGAAGCGAGCCAAGAAGGTCCATCTCACAGGAGCGATCCCACATTTTCCCCAGTCGAAAGACACAATCCATGTTCGGCGTTGCACCAGTCCAAGACCCCAAGACATCCTTTCGCCCGGCTGCAGTTTAGCACAAGGTCCGACAGGTTGATGGTGTGCACCACGAACCTCAATCCAAGCTATGGGGTCTGAGGTGGAGCAACCAGCAGATGGTCGCATAGATGCAGGTGGCACAAATCTTCGGCGATGCAAGCTAAGGATCTGCAAATTCTACAATCATTCCCCAAGTAAAGATCCACATGTCTGTGAGCTGGTTTACCACCATCTGAGCTTGCCTTTCATTGGGAAGGCACAAGGAGAATCTTGAATCTTGAATCCTATATATACATATATATATATATATATATATTTATCAAAAAAAAGGATTCCCCCCACCCCCCAGCGAACCCGGGATGAGCGTGCTCACACGAAACCCGAGCTACCAAGTTGCAGAGTGCCGTTCACCAGCAGCACGCAGGCGACTGCAAGTCGCACCGCCAAGATCAAGAAGCCCCACCTGGGCTGTGAGCAAAACCTGGTCAGAAGGAAAATCCTGCGCCCAGTGCTGCAACCCAACATCACCAAAAGCACGACTCGGCCCTAAAGTGTTTTTGCTGTTTTAATGTGGTTTCAGGTCCCTCCCAAATTGACTCACTTATATGTTGACCGAACCTCATCCGGCGATTCTTGGCCTCTGACTCTGAATGCAGGGGGAGTAAAGGACAAGAGGGCAAACAGCACCCGATCGCAGAACCAGGAGTCCATACTGTCAGCAAACCCTAGATAAGGTACTGAGTCAATATCATCCTGGCACGTGGAGCAAGTATATGTCAGGCCTTGTTTGCCTCGATTCTGTTGGGAACTACCCGAAAAACCCACAAACCCGTTATACTTTCGCAGCTCTTCAGAGACGAGGACAACCCATATCATTTTTCCGGGGTTCATTCACATGGAACCGACCAAGGGCTGGGGAACTCCATCGTCCAGGCGGCACTTTCCGGCCCTTGGACATGGCGGCGAGGGTGTACTTGGGATCATCTTCATCGTCCGTGTCTAGGATAAGGCCTCGGGAAACGTCCCGTTGTCAGAAGGAAATACCCCGAGTGCTTCCAGGCAAAGCACTACAACAAGGAACCATGACTTTCTACCTCCAGGTTTTACATCAACAATGCCCTTATCATGCAGAAGAACTCCTGGTTGGGTCCAAGGAAATTGATGTTGCGCTTGTATTGTGACATGCCAAGGCACGCGTTGGCCCGACCGGCACTGCCAGCAGCACACGTCCTCACCAGGATGGCAAATGCTGCGTGCCAACCCCCCCCCCCCCCCACGTTTTTGTGCTGATTTGGGCGCACCGCAAAAAAATCCGCCACCCCCCATTCGAGCCTCTCATCTCACCTGCCTAACCGCTCGCCGCTAATTACGTGCTCTTTCACGCTCTGTCCTAGGTCCAACGTGGTGGTCACGTCGTCCGAGACCATCAGGAACCACAAAGTCACCGCGACCATGGCCAGCACGGGGCCTGCGGAGCGTCCAAAACCCTAAGCCGAAAGGGAGCCTCTGGGGACCCTGTGGCTCTTTGGGGAATGTGCTGGTGGAATGTGCAAGCTTCTCAGAACGGCAGCCCAGCAATATGAGTATGGGTCAAGATGAAACCACCAGGAATTGGAACGCAGGTTTTAGTCCATGTTGTCCATGTTTCCTTTGCCAGGGTTCCATTTTGGGTACCTATTTTTGACCCACTGCCATATGAGAGCGCTCTTAGTCTCTAGTTTTCCTAGTCAGAACCCTTGTTTGTACATTATACTCTTTGCAAGCGCAGACTGCGAAAGCCGAACTTTGCATTTCGATCTCGGCGAAATATTACGTTCGCTTGTCCTATCGGAGGGATGACAAAATGAAAGAGCATGCGTTCAATATGATGTCGCTCCATTCGGTTGGCTCCCTCTCTCTCTCTCTGTAATTAGCCCTCCGCGCCTTTGAAAAAAGGCATGCTGTCGTCCGAGCCCAGATACGTCGAGACCATGCTGTATAGCGAGGCCTGCCGGCACAGAAAAAGCCTCTGTTTGGCGCTTCTTGCGGAGGTGACTCCGTAGTTCCCCCTCCCCCCCGCACACTGATCATGAGGTTTCTTGCTGAAGGTTCCAGGCTTCATGGCGACATGGCGGTAAACATTGCAACACTATGTTCGCCACGGGTCGTTTCTTGCAACGGCATGTCAGCAATCACGGTCCGGAGTCTGGGCTAGCCGGAGATGAATGCCTTTCATAAGGCTGTGTCAAGTGCGCTTCCTTTTTCTTGGGGGGAAACACTCATTCAGGGCAAAGTACCACCCTTTCCAACCTTCTTGAACAAATTTCAGAGCGTATTGAGGAAACACCCACTTCACTCCTGCAAGATTACCCTGGAACTCCAAAAAGGTGTTTGTTCTTTTCAACTTCCATGTGAGTGTTGAAAACCCATCGAAGCTTGCTTCTACCCTGATCATGTGATCCGAATAAAACCCGTAGAACCCACCATGGCGATGTCATGCGTCAAAAAATGCCCGGGGGGGACCTCTTAAAACAACCAATACCCCCTCCCCAAAATAAAAAGGAAGGAAGGAAAGAAAGAAAACTGATGGTGTTTCCCTTTGGCTTTCATATGTACACCCACCCTGCATGGCCTCCACCCGTTTTTGTAGACACCCCCCAGCCTGGCCGGTGGCCACGTGGAGTGCACCGTCGCCCCCGCAGACCTCAAACGCGTCGCTTCGGTCGCTTCGGTCGGTCTGCGGGGCGGGGGGTCGCTGGGTTCGGTCGCTTCGGGCGGGTCGTTGGGTCGTTTCGGGCCGGGGGGGTACAAGTCCCGAACACGGTTTCTCATCGATTTATAGAGAGCCCCTGAAAAGGAGGTCGATGCGTTGTTTGTTGGTGTTGTTTGCTTTTGTTTGATCGATTTATGGAGAGCCCCTTATAAAGGTCGACTTTCCACAGAGAAAGCATAAACAAAAGAAAAAATAAGATTATCAATATCCCCATACAAAGGTCGGTTCCCTTTGCCTTTCTGTGCTCTTTGAAAGAGCTACCCTCAAAAGTGGGCACGCCGAAAAGTGGCAAAGGCCTGTTGATTCCTTGACATTGCAGCAGACACGAAGGGGCTCCTTACCCTCACAAAGTGGAAACGGGGCTGCTCCAACAGGCTACCAGCCTAAGACGTCATGCCAGCCTTCAGAAAGCTAGTGAAAGGGCAAAGCTTGTAAACCTGCAAGTGTACAGCACGAAGCACAAGTCTGCTGGTGAACTTGGAGATTTTTAAGTGCAACAGTGTGAGCGAAAGTGTTTGAGAGTGCAAAAGTGTAGACTTGCAAACGATTGCCAGTATCCAGCACTTTCAACGATTCCAGCTTCGATTCGTTCGATGGAGTGCATGAAAAGAATACCTCTGCTTCCGATGAGCTTGAGTTCACAAGTGATTCCCGTTGGCTTTGAATGGAGCGCTTCTCTTTGAACTTATACGTTCCCTGCAGGGAAAATGGGAATAGTCCACCATTTCCCCTCGTCCCAAAAGGACTACATTGACTACACGCCATCTATCTCACCCATAAATCTGTTCTTCCCGTCTCCTCCAAGACAACTCTGCAACTCCACATATACTTCCACCAAAAACCCGGAGGTTCCTCCAAAAACAAGCCAGCCGCTTTTGGTCCCGGACTCCACGACTAGGTCCTCCAGTAGAGAGGTTTGAATAAGTTGGTACCAACTTCTTTCTGTGGTCTGTTTTAGTACGGGAGCCCAAAACCCCAAAGAAAAGAAACGGTAAGACAGGGCATCGCTGAGAAACCTAGACGAGAACACATCGCTCGCTCGCCTCGGCGATCGCTCGGAGCTCCGAGGGGCCCGGGACACCAAGGACGCCTCGGTGAGGCCGTCGTAGAAACTCACCAGGTGGCCCGTGGCCAGACGCCAGCGCCCCGCCTCGGAGCCGGAGCTGCGTCTCTTCTTTTCCCCCGGTAGAAAACTGCGGCGCCCGGTTCGGGGGAAGCCAAACCCCAACCCAACCCAAACCTCAACCAACCAATTCAATCCATCCATCTCCAAGTCAAGCCAACCCAACCCCAACCCACCAATTCAATCCAACCAATTCAATTCATCCGTCCATCCAACCGACCAGGGGTTCAGGGTTTGGGGGTTTTAATGGGTTTTATGGGTTCTGGGTTTTTAGGGTTTTCGGGCTTTAGGGTGTTAAGTTGTAAGGCTATTTTTGGGGGGCGGGCTCCCTTATGGGATTCCAGAGAAAATCTGTGTCTGGTATCAAATTGGGTCAAACCATGGGAAAAAGACCCAGAAGGACTTCTTGCACTTACTTTGTTGCTGGTGGCTGCGCCTTGACCTTCACTTACGTTTCACCGTGGAAGAACAAACCGAAAATGCCAACGCAGGGGCAGACCTTTGCCTTTTGTCCACCAACCCCGAGACATGCGGATGCTGACGCATCTTCTTGCAAGCGGACATGGCATCTGGGGGTGTATTCTTGTTGGAGAGTACCCCCCCCCTTTTTTAGTGGCCTTGAAGGGGTGTCAGTAAAAAATAAGAAGAGAGACTCGCCCATCTAGTATCGAATTTGTTCCATAACCCCGTCCTAGGATTCGCAGTCCCTGGGTTTTGTGGGGATTCAGATCACTTTGGAGGGGATCACCCCCCTACAATAGGACGGGATTGTGAATCCGGGGTCAACATTACGGCTTCAGCAAAAAGCTCTTCACCAATCGTTGTTGCACTGCGACGAGTTCCTTGGAGCTTGCACATCTTTCCCCTCTGTCTGAAGAGACAACGCAAATCTTGGCAAGGAAACTAGCTCAATTCCTATCTTCCCTGCAAAAAGCAAGCCTAACTCCGGTGTTCGAACATTCCTCCTCGGCAGCAAGAAGAAAAAACATGTCCGCCCCGAGACCAAGCGTTCCGGAAACAGCGAGCCCCCCCTCGCCTTCGTCTTCCGCGTGCGATTTTGCCCAACAAAACGAAAAATCCGGCGACGCCCCGCCGAAGCCCCCCATCCATCGATCCATCGATCGGAGCCGATCGATGGATCCGAGGCGTGGGCGTCGGAGACGGAGCTCGCGTCCACCTTGGGGGCGCTGAAGTTCAGCGCCACCACGCCCACGAAGACCTCGGCGACTCGGCGCCGGCGACTCCCAAGGTCTGAGTCGAGTAGAGTTGAGACGAGGCGGGGGCATCATGGGAGAAGGGGAGAATAGGAGAAATTGGGTGCGAGCCAACAGATATTGAAGGAAATTTGGAGGAGGAGGTTCTGAGGAATTTTGAGATTTGATGTGGCAAGCGGAAGGACAAGACTAGTGAATGTTGCATTGTGCAGCGGGCTTCGATGCCAATTGTTCCGATGGCAATCACAGGTTGGGGACGCCACAGCACGATTCAACTTCCGCAAGCAAACATCTGAAATGTTGTTTGCGGGGCAAGCCTGTATGCCCTATCAAAGACAAGCTCCCATTGTGAAAGCTGTTGAACTGTTGAACTAACCCATAGTCAACCTGAATTTATGGTCGCATCTTGAAAACAGATCTTGCCGTGTTTTACCGTGAGGCGTAGCTCGAATGTGCCACGGAGGGAGTTATATTCAGGATGATCGCAGTGTTGCTGGAAATTACACCCTCCCTCCCACTAACATAGCAGCTGTGGGAGGGTACCTGGAAGATCATTTTCCTCTTGTAGGGACCCCCTGTCAGGCTCCATGTTCGTGGGAGTGAGGGTAATCATTGCGTACTGTGATCGATAAGTATGTGGCTTGGCATTGGGCACAAGTAAAAACCACTTGGCGCTGTCTCTGATTCTCCGAAGACATGATTTGCACCGAAGGCCCCTTCTCCGCGCATCTTTTCTTTGATCTGTACACCTGCTAGGTTTCCCTGCTTGGCATGCCCAAGGCTCAGATTCGGGCTGAAGGGTCCATTCAATCCTAGCCCGAACACCTCCCTGCTGTTTGTTTCTCCAAACACGACCACCCATCCGTGCCCCTTGCCATGCAGGCTCCCGTGAATTAGCGCCTGGATCGGCTGGCCGACAACATGGGGTCGGAGCCTCAAAACAGCGCCTCTCAGGCGCTCTGCCCGCCTGTGAAGGCACCCATTGGCGTCTCAACATGGGCCCCCCATGGGCTGGGTTCCGGCTGGCTTGCGAGAACAAAACCTCGCGAACAAAGAAGGGCTCCCCATGTTGAGATGTAGCTATACGGTAGGTGTTCTGAACACCACTGTGCAATTCTGCAGAGCTGTCCGCACGTCGCCAGACCGCGCGTTCTCCTCGCTCCGCTGCTCACACGCTCATGCAGCCGCGGCTGGGGCGGCAAAGACATACTTGGCCCCCGCCAGAGCAGGAATAAACTGGCCTGTGAATCGGTCTTTGGAGCAATCTTTGAGTTGGACAAGCATCTTCCGGACATCTGCTGGGCAATGTGGTGAAGTGCGTGTCCAGACTGCCACAATCATCCAATGTTGAACCATAGCTACATAGTGCTTATTTTGGGACAACAGGAGGGAATTAGGCGAGGGGAAGTGATTTGGATGGTGTGAAGGTGAAACACGAAAGCAAAACCAAACACACTCACCATGTTCAACCATTTTGCTGGGCTCACATACCCTGCTGAAAGTTTAGCTTTTAGTCGGTCAGATGTAAAACCCCCCTAGACAAACATGAAGCTAAAAACCTAAGGAAGCTCATGCCTGGGAATCCTGGGAACCACTAAGTTTAGGGCTCCACCATTTTGTGGCATCCACCCCCCTTTTTTTGCTTTTCAACCTTTTCTTCCATTTCCTCCACCCCCTCCACCCCCTCCACCCCCTCCCCCGATCCCGCCACGCCCCCTCAGCCTGGCATAGCCTTGGCCAACTCCGCCTTGGCGCGCCAGCCCGTGCAGTGCCCCGCCAGCACCGCGCGAGGCTTCAGGGCCAAAAGGTCGTGGATGGTGGCCTCACAGACAAGCGTCGTACGCCTCAATATGTGGCATAGATATATGTGGCGTGTATATATATATATATAATGTATATGTATATGCATATACATATATACATACGTGTACATACGTGTACATATATATATATATATATAGGCATACATTAGCTATGTATTTACATATATATGATGTGTATTTTCCAGAAAAGAAAATAACAGGGGCCTCCACAGAACCAAGTAAGTCCAGAGTCATACATGTTCAGTTGTACACCTAGTGTTGCGCCATGCCCCCTATACAACCTGGCCCAAATCTCATAAACGCAAGGCAATCATGCGAAGTGGTACGACCTTGCAGGTATCACGAAGATCTCAGAATAGAGGCAACTAGCCTAAGTGGAGGGGCAAGGCTCCTGCGCAAAAGCCAGCAATTCGAGGAAGCTGTCTTTCACACGTAGGTCGAAAACTTTAACATATACTAAACTCTCTGGTGGCTCACATTGGAACTCATGCCGAATCATGAAGCGCTCACAGCAAAACCAACCACGCCTGGCCATGTGAGCCTTTGCATGAAAAGGACATGGGTAATATGTTTCTCCCAAAATGGGCGGCTATCCCTTTCGTTTTCCCTTCAAAACCCACCCCAAAAACAAATAACCCCAAAAAAAGAAGCCGAGCCATGAGCCCATCTCCATCCGCCCACCTTCCGAGTACCCACGCGCGGCTTCCGCGCCTGCACGCGTTCTTCGAGGCCAGCGCCGGCCAGGTGCAGGCCACCCATAGCGCTCAGCAGCGGCTGGCCTGTCCGACGTGGCTCGGCTTGGCTTCGGCTCGTGGTGCCCTTTTTTCGGGCGGGTTGTTTGGATGGAAAACCAAGGGAAATCCGAAATCCATTTTGGGAGGCTTTCTGAAAACCAACGGAAACCAAGGGAAATCCGAAATCCATTTTGAAAGGGTGTTTTGAAAACCAAAGGAAATCCGTGTTGGAGCCTCTGAGCATTCCGGCGCCATGCCTGAAGCTTTATCCACAGGTGCACCAGATTCTTGCTATTTATTTGTTGTTTGGGTGCTCAAACATATTGGCAGTTTGGTTCAATCAGATGCCGGCTGTGCTTTTCGTTTACCGCACCAGGAGCTTCCTCTTGGCCGGGAAAGCCAAATGGGTATGTATTTGTTGAGGGCACACCCTCCAAAATGGTGGTGCTCCTTTTGGTTTCCATCTAAAACCCACCCCAAAACGAGGCACCCACTCCCAAACAAAGGACACCCCCCAACCGCGTGACGTGCCACAAAAGGAGCCTTCCAGGCCCTCGGCTGGCCTGGGGCCATCTCCAGGGCATGGCGGCACACGTTCACGATGCCCCCGTGGGAGCAGGCGGAGAAGACCGCCACCCCGGCACCTCGAGAGGATTAGGAAAATGCAAAATGCCCCTGGCCCCTTTCCCCAGTCTCTGAGGTTCTGTCGCCATGTTTTTTGTTGTTGCCCCTGTTTGTGAGCCGGAAATGGCCAGGGCTGGCCCTGGTTCTGATGTTCTGCCTTCCTGTCGCCTTTTCTTGTTTTTGCCCCTGGCCCCAGGAGTTTCGTATGCATTCTCCAAAGGTCAAGCGGCAGATAGGTACGCCGCCAGAAGCAAAAGGCGAAGCGACTTGGAGAGGCAAAAAAGCGCGGACAGCGGGAGAGCGAAAAACTTTGACAGAACCGCGGACAGCAGTTCCAGAGCCTTCCAACACCTTGCACAGTGCACAGCAAACCGCGCCTTTGACCTTCACCGCCAGGTACCGCTCCTCCGCGATCTCCAAATCCGGCGCCCAGTGGCCAGAGGCGTCCCAGCACGACAAGGAGCCCAGGAGGCCCCTCTCGTAGCTGGTGCGCCGCGGGATGGCGCCGCTCACGAAGAAGCAGCCCTCGGAATGGAGCTGAGGGGAGGGGCACTTGGCTGTGGGTCGAAAATAGGCACCCAAAATGGAGCCTTGGTAAATGGAAACATGGACTCACACCTGCGGTCCCCTTGGTTTAATCTTGACCCACACCCACTCCAAGGACAGGGAGGTCAAATTGAACTTTAAGGACAGGCATTTGGCCCGGTGTGTCAGCTGACCCTTCGACCCTTCGACCCTCGGGTGTGGGCTGCCGAAAAATGGCCGAGCCGATGAAGGTAGAGGCTCCCCCAAAGGCGCGCATCTTAATTTCTCAAATCAGCTCACAGGCATTGTCTAGGAGTGTAAAGGCAGCGGCTTGAGCACCTTGGACAAAAAAACGTGAAGGATTCCCAACATGGCCGTGGCTCAAAAAATGGAACTAGGGCAAATGGAAACATGGACCAAAACCTGCGCAACCCCTCCTGTTAAGTTTTGAGCCACACTCACACAGGACACCCCCCCCCAAGCCAGTAAACTCACGTGCTCATGAGGACCCGGCGCCGATGCCGTGGGGCTCTGCGCTGAGCCGCAGCTCCGTGTTGGGAATGCTGCGCAGCTCCTCGCCGAGTTTGGGGGGTAGTTGGTACCCCCTTTTTTTCGTGGCTCAAAGGGAAACTAAAAGGAAAGCCAAAATCCATTCTGGGGGATCCAAATCCAAAAGGACACCCCCTAGAACTTGGGACCTCCAATGCTTGCCTTGCTTCCAGGCTTGGAAGCAGGTTGGGAACACAAACCAATCTGGGTGAACCCCCGATCAGATGGGTTTGCTGGGGTCATGGTTTTGACTTCTGGGGGTTGAAGTCAGAAACTGGCTGGTGGTTTCCCTTCAACCAATCACTGCTTCATAGTGGTGAAATGCTGAGGCCAGCACTATTCATTGACTATGGCGACAAACATGAAGAAGGACCCACAAACACGAATTTGTGCTCGATGGCCTAAAGACGAGGAAAGAAAAGCAAAGATCCCTTCGTTGGGGTCCAGTACTTCTTAGGACATGCCCAAACTGCAGATCTGTGGATTTGCAGCATGGTTCTGAGAAAAAGAGAAAAAAAGGGAAGGAGCTCGACCTCGAAGTTGGATTGGGTTTGCCATAGTTCCTTAAGCCCTAAGCCACGCAAACACCCATTCAGGGTGGTCTTTTTTCGAGGCTACCCTTTCTGGTTGGTGTTAAAGGGCAACCCAAACGACAACCGAAGCCATGTTGCATTTGGGGGTCCCGTAAACGTTTAAAACAAAGCCTTGCAGGCCGCTTTTTCCCAGCGCAAGCCACCTCGTTGGTTGGAAGTGAGTGCGGCTTCATCCATGCAGAGTCGCACAGAGTCACACAACACACCCCACTGATACCCCACTCTTAGGGCTTTCCATTTATGATCCCCGCAAAGTGTGCTATGGTCGATGGAAGCCAAAGTTGTTAATTTGTTATTGCTGGCGCCGAAAAACAAAACAAGGCCCCTGTATCTCGCGGATGAAACCGACCGAAGACCCGACAAGAATCGACTCATATTGCAACTTTTAAGTACAGACGTAGTACGCGAAGTACACTTCGCACACCTCCAACATGGCCAGCACTGCAATACAAAACATTGGGTTTCAAGCACGCGCCTCAAACATGGCGCCGCGCACGTTACGCAAGGATCCTGGATGCCCGCCTGGAAGCTGGGCAGCGGGGGCTTCAGCTCCAGCACCCCCAACTTGGTCTGCACCCCCCGCTTCTCCGGGCGCTCCGGGTGCAGGTCCAGCCGCACCGGGCCTAGGCCCGCCGCCTGGCGCGGCGGATTTTTTTGGAATTTGGCGCAAGGAAACTCAGTCCGAAAGGTGGGTTAAACCACCAAGGGAACGTGGCAAATGAGGGGGGCTGGGTCAAAGAAACTTGAAGTCACGAAATGGTTGTGGGGACTGCCTGCTTTGGTGTCAGAGAGAAGCCATGTTCCTGATCTATGAAGCAAACTAGATCAAGGGAACTCGGGGACCCCTCCCCACCAAGCACCTCCCAAAGGCTCTATAATATAATATAGATACACATATGTATGTATGTCATATTCTCCCTAGCCGCCAGTTGGGTAGGTGCCAGGATGGAGCTGAGAACGTGTTGGGCCAACACGGAAAAAGGCGGATTGCTCAAATCAAGTCCCGGAAGGCATTCAGGATCCCCCCTGGTTGAGAGGGAAGCCAACCAGGAGGAGGTCCCTTCATAAGAAACACACCGCCACAAAAAAGGATGGGGAAAATGGGAGGTGAATCTCGGTGCAAACCTGTCCGTTCAGCGCAGATGCTCTAAGCCGTGCATCTGGATGAGTTACTCTACTGTTGGAAGCTTGATCCTGGGTTTCCCAAACTCAATCTCTTTGCAACCCGTGCGCAAAGAAATTGCCCGCATGAAGTGAGAAGGTGCCGGTTGCCTACTGAAAACCCCGGCTGGTTGTCAAAATGAGGGACCCATGAGTCATACTCCAAACCTGGCATTGGAAAAGCCTACTCAACACTATCTAAAGACATACAAGAGCGGCCACACCTATTTGCAGTCGGGGATGTCCCTTACCAACCTGAACTTACCCGGGTTTCGATTGCGACTCGACGCTCCAAATGGCCAGCTGCCCATCGAACCTCCCGTGCGCGGGCAATGAGCGACAGCGCCGCGCTGAGGCCACCGAAGTGGTCGGAGTGGTAGTGGGAAAGCACCACCTGCGCGTAGTGCGCGGCACCTGGTTCGGGTTTGTTTTTGCAGGGAAACCAAGGGAAGGTATCCATTTTGGGGGCCCCCCGTTTTGAGAACCACCCATTTTGGCGTTTTAAACATGCCGACCGACTTGTTGCATCCCTCCGTCGCCCAGCGCCCTGTCTTACCGGTTGCACACGCACCACTAAGTGCCGCATTTGGCATACAAACAGAACGGTTGGCTGGTTCTTCGAATCCAACTTCGCTGGTCCCGGAGAGTGCCGACATCGGACTCAAGCAAAACGGTTCGCTGCGTCAGTATTCTCAGTTGGGCATCGTGTCCCCAGTCTTGACACTGAGTCGCTTTCCATCTGGCACGTAAAACCGTGCACTTTGCCGAACAAGACCAGGGAAAACTTGGTTTGAACAAGAAGCCACGTTTGAACAAGAAGCCACGGTCGATACATACGGCTTTAGTGAGTACACCTGGTTCCTGTGGGGGTATGGTGAGTGCCCTATGTCCCCCCTGAATTCAACATAGTAGGATCTCTTGACCGAACTCGAAAGCCATCATGGCTAAGGTGCTTCAGTGAGAAAAAGAGAAGGAAGACAAAGCGGAGGACAGAAAGAACGCAAGAAGAGGAGCAACACGGTGGGGAGAAGAGGGGCGAGAGCAGTCGAAAAACTTGCTGGACATCACTCACCGCAAAGAATCGAAGGGTATCTAAAAAGGGCCTGAAGGGGGCCGGTTCCTTTCTACCAGTTGGGTTGCTACTTTTTGGGCTGAAAATGCTGACCCGTGAGGTGTTCTGGTAAAAGCCTTGAGCCTCGAGCCCCAACTTCCCTGAACTCCCCCCGAGCCCCAACTTCCCCGCCGCGTCAATCGACGCGAGGTCCACTCCTGAAGTGTACGAGCCAAGCAATCGCTGGGAGACATTTGTGTGTCCCAAAACGCCGGGTTTACTATCGTGCCCCTTTCAAAAAAACCGGCTCATTTGCGGTTGCCTCCCTTTAGATCCGCAGCCAACACCACACAATGTCACAACGGCATCTGTCTGGTTTTTCTCCATGTTCAAAGCCAATCTTGTGTTTGGGGAGCCAAACTCCTGGATATACCTTCGGTTTACAACACACCAACAAAGAGGTCCCGAAATGAAAATGTTCCACTACCCCCCCTCCACTTTTGATAGTCTACGGCTCACTAGCTGAAAGGATCTCCAAAAGATCTAACAGATCTGTGGTACACGTGGCTTCTCGGAGTTGCCCTAGCTGAATGAGACAGAGGGATTTCCAATGAGTGGATGACCCGAGACTTCAGTCCCTGCAAATGATTGTTGTACCTTTGCTTCCTTTTGCAAACCAGAAGGGGAGGGGGGCCTGTAGTCTTGGCAACATCCAAAAACACTGGTTGACCTCGTTTCTTGGAAAGCCCAGGGTCGAGGGGTCGTCCGTTTTCAGGCAAAAAGGTAACTCCTTTAGCCGGGGCTCCAAGCTTCTCCGCGTTCTCCTGCCAGAGTTTCGGGCAGGGCCCTGCGTCGAAGAGTAGCACCTGGCCGTGTGATGTCAAAACACGTCGTCCTGTGGTTGGCTTCCTCGGGTGCCTGCTTTGTGTTCGAACCGGTGTTTGTTTTCACACACGTGCACACACACAAACGCACCCTCTCTACACACCCTCTCAAGAGGAAGATCCTCGAAGAATGCCGACATGCGCAGGCAAGGATGTCAGGATTCAACAAAAGCAGAGCCCGTCAACAGATCAAGCACCGCAACACATCACAAGCACGCCGAGCAATCACCTGAGGTACGTCCGGAAGGCGCCCCTTCAGGATATCACAACCAAACCATCACTGTCTTCATTGGGGGGTGAGTGCTGGCGGTCCACCTGCTGTTCCAAGGTGTTTCACACGCGCACACACACACAGGCGGCATGTGTCAAAACCAGGCAGTGAAATGGGCGGTTTGTCTTTGAGGAAAATCAGTAGAAAGCAGTTCCATTCTGACGGTCCCAACAGACCCAACTGTAACTGGTGTTGATTCACATTGCACCAAGCAGCAGGACCCTGACAGTTTGGGAAAGGCATCATGCTTCTCAGTCCAGAATAAACCTACCATACCCAGGCACCTGCACGATTTCTACGTGTTTGTTCCTTGATTGTTCACAAGCCATGCTGAAACAAATAACGCCTCTGGATGGTCTTGCCACTCTCATCTTTGCCTCGCGCCTTCTCCTCGTGCCCGCAGCGGGCCGTCAGCAGCAGTGACAGGCCGTGGGCAGCGTCGCAGCAGTCGACAAAGTCCAGGCGCTGCGTCTGCGCCGCTCGCCGCAGCTCGGACTGGTACACCACGCTGCCATCCTATGGAATGAGCTCACGCCTCCAAAACCTTCAGGAACTCTTTGATGGGTTCCCGGGTTTCCGTCCGCCCGAAGCTTGCCAACATCTTCGGAAGCCTGCCGGACGGCTGATGCATGCCACTGGCGATACCAATCCATAGTGGTGTGCCACTACAACAAGGGAAACCACTACCAACCATTACCAACCGACCGACATAAGCACTTGTTTAAACCACTCAATCTCAACGGAAGGAAGAACCGTGGCTTTCTTGGGATCGGCTTCCGAATCCTTTGCCCGACCCCCGCACCTCAGAAGATGCAGGCGTTGACAAGAAGTCGGTTTCGTTGTCAACCTGGGTGAAATCCACGTTGGATCGGGTCAATTGAGTGGACCGAATGGCATTGTAGATTCCATGGCCAAGGGTTGCCGGGGGCTCCACTCAAACCTCTGATTGCTGGCAGGAAAAAGGGGGCAAGACGATCACCCACGGGTTCAACAGTGTGGGGCTTTAGGATGTTTCTGGAAGCCAAGCTTGTTCCGAGAGGGGAAGGACTTGTGAAGGGACATGCATGCCCGTCAAGCAATCACCCTAAAGGGTTCAAGGCCCAAGTGCCACACAACTAGCTCCTCCAGTAGAGAGGTTCGAGTAAGGGTACCCTTTTTCTGTAGTCTATTTGAGGGAACCCTCCCAACCAAAAAAAGAAACGGGTAAAAGGGCACTAGTGGGGGACCTAGACAACCATTCTCTCCCACGAAGTCTGGCAAGACCGGTAAAAGCGCCCAAAGCGAAGGCGCAATGTCCAGCACCGTCAAAGAGTCTACCTCCAGCAGCTGCTCCATGGCGCTTCGGGTGGCGCGTTACAGGCGCTCTGAGGCGAAAATGGCTCGCGGTCATTTCGAACATCGCCAGCCACAAGGAAAGGCTTCTACCGTCAAACAAGGTTTCCATGTCCAACCTGGAACCTCACCAACCACCAGAGAAATCACTTTTAATTGGCCTTGCCAAAAGGCGATATCTGAAATCACGTTTGAAAGGAACCCTTCAGAAACCTGGAAAGGGTGATTGTCAAAGTTGCCAAGCCCGGTCAAGTCCCAGTGCCTAGTGCTGAAAATGGTGACCGTGGATTAGTGCCTTTATGGCTTGCCCGGTCCATCCAAGTCATGCGCATCAAATCCCAAACTTCCTCCTTTTTGCCGCGTTTGCCCTCCTCCTCCTCCTCCTCCTCCTCCTCCTCCTCCTCCTCCTCCTCCTCCTCCTCCTCCTCCTCCTCCTCCTCTTGGAACCCCTCTCTCGCCTGAACCCAGCCGAGGGGCCAGTTGGATGGCGAAGGTCGTCAGCACCAGGACCATGGTGTGGATCCCCCCGAAGGTCCCCACCGCGTCCGTGCCAACCTAGCGACTCGCCACGCGCCACGCGGGCAGGCGCCAAGAAGTTGGGGCAACTGGTCAAGCCGAAACGTAAAGATGGGTGTCGGTTTTTGAGTGGAATGAGCCACACTCAAAACCCGGTACTAAAACGGTGAACCCAGAACCACGTAAAGAATTAAGAAGGCAGATATCCGCAGCTATTTCTGGGATTGGCCCTTGCAAACCTTCATCTACCCGGGTTCTGAGCACGTGGCGCAAGTGACGGTGGAGTTTCCAGCTGTTCCTAATCTTAAAATGGCGAGCGCATTCCGAGCACATCGAGCGAGCACATTGAGCGATCGAAGCCGAGGAGCGAAAAGGGCCAGATCCCAGGTGCTCTCCTGGAAGGCGTACTCCTGCACGGCTTGAAGCGACTTCCAGGCACAAGCCTGGGGTTCCTCTGCTGAAGTAGATGAATTCCCTTTCATTTCGACTATCAAAGTGCACCAATGGCAGAGAGAGAAAGAAAAAGAAAGAAAGCAAGAAACAACGAAACAAAGAAAGAAAGAAGAACAAAAAGCAAGAAAGCAAGAAAGTAAGCAAGCAAGAAAGTAAGAAAGAAAGCAAAAAAAATGCAAACAAAACAACAAGAAAGTAAGAAAAAACAAACAAGCAAGAAAGCAAGAAAGCAAGAAACAAAGAAAGAAAGAAGGAACAAAAACAAGAAAGCAAGAAAGCAAGAAAGCAAGAAAGAAAGTAAGAAAGTAAGAAAGAAGGCAAAAAAAAGCGCCAACAACAGCAAAAAAAAAGCAAGAAAGCAAGAAAGTAAGAAAGTAAGCAAGAAAGCAAGAAAGGAAGAAAGGAAGAAAGCAAGAAAGGAAGAAAGCAAGAAAGCAAGAAAGCAAGAAAGCAAGAAAGCAAGAAAGCAAGAAAGTAAGTAAGAAAGAAAGAAAGTACGGGGGAAAAATGGGAAGTGCAAGACAGCACACGCCTCTGGTTGTGCAAGTGCAACCCAAAGCACTTCTGCACACGCAGGAATCCGGGTCACTCCAGCTGGACAGAGCAGCAAGTCACAGACCAAACTTGTCAGGCCATGATGGCTTTTGACACTGGTAGTTCTTTTCGATTACTTTGATGGCTCTTGAATTGACCTCTCTAGTGTTGAAGCAACCACAAAAACCAATGTTGTGCCAGACGACAACCGGAAAACCCAACCGGGTCCTCGCTCGCCTTCGTGTCTACTTCGTGGTGCGTCAACTCAGCAAGGGGCGTGTGTCAAAAGGAGACTCCGACTTTCCTTCCCCAGGGGAACCTGGCTCGGCATAGCCTTCTTTCCACATCCAAAGGACACCTCGTCTTGAAGGGACGGGCGGACAAACCGTCACTCTATCCCACTCCACTCAAGTCAATTGACAACTGGAGCCCGCCTGCCCGGCCCCTCGGAGACGTGTACAAATCTTGGCCAGCTTTGGTGTCGTGACTGTGCCGTCCATACGCCCATGAACGCTTGGCTGCGCCTTTCAGAGGGAACTGTGCTTTGCTGCGATAGAACCTCTAACACTTGTGGGCCGTGGCACAGCATTGCCCAATCATGCAGCCACCCTTCCATTCGCTTAGGCCCGATGGAAAAAGATAGAGTTATGTCCAGTAGTGAAATCGATTCCCTTTCAATCCAACAAGGGAAAATGTACAAAAAACCGATGCATTTCAACCAATCGTGCTGCCATGCCGCTGAGCGCCCTCGGACCTTGAACTCCTGCGAGAGGCTTCGGGTCGTGAGCCGTACGGAGACACCTTTGGGTTCCTTTGGCTGGGCTCCTTTGGGTTTGCCTTTGAGTTTCACGGAAAAAGGGATACCCTTTTAGCGCCTACTTTAGACAAAGCAGTGGGTCAGACGGGATACCCTCAAAAAAAAGACGAGCCACCCAGATGCAAAAATAGCCCAGAGTGAAAGTTAAGGAGCCGGAGTTGCGACAAGACCTTCCATACATGGCCCCATCTTCGAGTCAGGGGACCCAATCTTGCAACTTTCCCTCGGGGGCTCATCAACGAAACTGAACAGATGCAACTGACCTACTGAGTTTATTGGCCAGAAACAGTTCGACTGTTTGGCCCTTGACTAACATGATGAAGGAACCTGCCAACAAAAAGCAAAGTTTGTCAGCTCAGGTCAGGCAAAAATCAGCTGGAGTCGCATTCATTGTTTGGCTTGAAACATTTCGAGTCGCAGGTGGTTCAAGCCACCTAAATATGTCTTCTTTGAGCCCACTCGCAGGGTCCTTCTCGTTGAAACTGCATCCTGGTATGCCAGATGCCTTCATAAACCGTTTTGCTCTTTCACCTGAGGTTCTGCTCAATTGCAATGAAGATATCTCGAGCGAGACTCAAACCCAAACCACACAGATCCCCCTGTGTGTTCTTGTGCGAGAAGTACTCTGTCGCACACACACACACACACACACACACAGGTAGCTCCAGCCCCCAAAAACCCCGAGGCTTTCGGCTTGCTTGGCCCGCGCCTTCTCACCCGCAGTCTTTGGCGCATCCACTTTGGTGGCCTGAGCCGCGAAAAAATTGTTCCCAGGCGGACGGTACCCAATTCCGGCACCAAAAGGGAACCAAAAGGAGACAAGACACCCAACTTGGGCCCGTCCGCCGGCAAAACCGGCTTTTTTAATGGTGTCCTTGCGAGGAAGAGCCAATCCAATTCGCACCATGTTGCCAAGGATCCTGCAAACGCCTGTTTGTCGCTGATCCATCTAATTGAACCGCGAGAAACAAACAGCGCCGCAAATCAAAGAGCTGCCAAGCCATCCTTTTCATTGACACCAGCTCTCATGATTCCAGAGTTGGGCCCCCACCTAGCTCAAATGTCCTTCACAAACATCATCATCTAGATGTCCGGTTCAAGGGGAACACAATCAGGTTGTTCAAACCGCGTTTCCCCAGACCCTGTGTGCATCTTCACAAACACAGTGTGATCTGGGGGGCCCATGGGTTCGAACGAAGGAAGTGCCCAAGCGGCAAGCTTGCTTTGGGGCGGCTAGTTGACCCTGTCCTTCCATATGTTCAAAGCGGCTTGAAGCACGGAGGTAATTTGTAAAACTTATGCACCTCCTTCTCCCTGCATAAAGCATTCAGGTGCAATGAACCTCCACTTGACACAGCCCAATCCCGGCGCCTCCTCAACTTCCGGCTGCACTGACACCAGGGAATAGGACACAGAGTTCTGCGCCTCCCAAACCCCCGCGGCCCTGCAATCCAAACCCCCGATCAAACAAAAAAGGCTCACCCTTTGGAACGAAGGGTCAAGAACCTTCAAGACGCTCTCTATGAGATGGCTGAAACCCCAAGAACCAAAAAAAACACGTCCAACTGGAAAAGTGGGATGCTCCCTTCCCATCAGATTCTCTCAAGGGACTTCAGGAAGGCTCCTCAGGTATCTAGAGTATCCCGCGGTGCATGCTGATTTCGTTTTTTTTTTTTTTTTTTTTAAATATCGAGGACTGATGCGCTTTCCCTCCGAAGGCATTGTGAGGGCACATGGGAAAAATCCGGACTCGCCACACCTCGTGGACCAAAGGCAGCACAGGCGTTCGGTCCGGAGTGCACTAACTTGGCCAGGGGTCGACTTTTGGCGACTCATTTAGAGAAACCTCTGGCAAGAATCTAAGGACTTCTCTAGCACGGAATTACATCAAGAAACTACCCACTTCGACCAGAGGCTTTCAGGTCGTCCTCTGCGGAATAGCATAAGTTCCAAAAAAAACATCAGTAGAGGACTCTCCTTGTTCATTTCGGAATAACATGGACCCAAAAAAGTCCATCAGTGGAGGAATCTCCTTGTTCATTTGCAGGGGGAATAACATGGACCCAAAAAAAACATCAGTAGAGGAATCTCCTTGGGCTTGTTGTTCATTTGGGGTGTCATCCCAGACCTCTGGATCCCCTCGAGGGCACACTGCCGCCCTGCCGCCTGCGGCTCCTCCGGCACGTTCAGCATCACCGGCGCAGCCCTGCAAGAGGCGTCGAGCAAGCCTTCTGGAACGCTAACATGTGGGTGTGGGGTCAAAATTAGTCACCACAGGAATTGGACCGCAGGTTTTAGTCGATGTTTCCATCTACCAGGGCTTGTTTTTGGGCGCCTATTTGTGACCCACAGCCATGTGTCCTAAATTTCAATGGGAGTGATTCAACCCATGGTGTATCGACAAAATCGGTTGGATTTTTTAGACTCCTGCGGCAAAGGAGCCCTGGCCTTCGAGTCGGGAGAAGCAACCCCCGGCTCCAGCCTTCCCTTGAGGCTGACTCCGCTTGCCCCAAAGTGGATCTACTCTCCGCATCTGCAGAGTCTGCGTCAAGGCAAAATCCGCATTTGTGGTAAACCCACCTCTTCACTAGCAAACAAACACACGTTCACATGTAGAGTCCCCGAAACCTTAGAACTGCCGTGTGAAAGGTGAAGCTTGGGGTGTCGCTTCTGCGAGAAGCGACAGCCAAGACCAGAGCCGCGCAGGTGTGCACTGAAGGACGAACAAATGCACCAAACTACCAGAGGTTTTAGTCGATGATCCACCTACCAGGGTAACCCATCTTGAGGTTATCCTATTTTCGACCCACTGCCAAATGGCATTGGTAAATAATCAGAACCAAACTGACACCAGAGCAATCTATTTTCAGGACATTTTGTTTGCACGACCTGGCACTTCTAGTTCAAGGCTTTACGTGATGCCTTCCCCTGGTAAGCAAGGTAACCGTGTCAAACCTCGACGAGGCAAACAGCTGGTTACGTGCTGTGGTGTTAACTAGAAGCACTGGGAAGGAAAAAGCGCGTATTGCTTGCCTTTTATTCTCTGAGCGCGATCTTTCCCAAGGCGACAACCTTCACCAAAACTGGCAAATGGCTCAGTACGAAAATCAACCAGCAAAGTGTGTTTCTTCCTGGAGGTTAGCGTATGGCATGCGAACCAGAAATTAAACAAAAAAAATGAATTGGCGATGGAAGATGAAAGAAGCTGCCGCTTGAGTCCCACACAACGGGCCCCCTACCCTCCCCCTTCACACTCGCCGGCCTCCCCTCCAGCTGCGAGAGCCGCAGTTGCATGGACTGCACCAGCTCCTCAAGGGCTCGGATACCTGTCAGCTGGCAGCGACTTTCCGGGGGTTGGGGGTGGGGGCTTTGGAGTGGAAAGAAACAGTGGGTGTATCTGTTTGCTTGAACCAAAAGGTTCAAAAGGCGAAAAGGGAAGCCCTGTAGCCACGATTGTCTCGACCAGCGCCCCATAGCGAGTGCGCTCTGTTTGTCTCAGATGAGTTGTGTGGAGTTTGTGTGTGTGTGTGAGTTTGCGCGTGCACACAAAAGGAGAGGTAATGCTTGCATGTGTACACAAACCAAATCCCGAGATGCGTGGCAAGCTTTTGTGTGTAATTCTGCATCTTTCGTCTCTGGGTGAGAACAGGCCGAAAAAGTCCTAACACCCCCCGGGTAATCACGATGATGCTGGCACGCTTTTTGTAAGTCCCAAGCTGTGCCCTTGGGGCTCCGGCGTTCTTCCTGCCATTCCTGGGCACAGCACAGTGTCAATGGAGAGGACATGATTATAAAATGGGTTTTTGTCGGGGGGAGCTCATGCAATGTCTCAGAATTTTGAAACATCCTCTCTTGGCTTGATGGCCATATGCCCTATTTCCCGTGAAAAACTGCCTGCTTCAGGCTTCAGGCCGGGGATAGGCAGGCCTAACTTTTGGCTGGGCCAAAAGTAGAAAGCGTCGAAACCGGGCACGCCAACTGAGGTCTAGCGTCTGCCTGGACATGGCTCATGTGTCCCTTGTAAACATCACATCAAAAGGAAATGCACAAAAGCAAACAGCCAAAAAAAACGGGCGTTTTGGGAAGTTGCCCAAAAGAGGATCTGAACGCCTACCCCTGCTAAAGGCGCATCACTCTACGGGCTTTTCATGGGCACCTGGTGCAGCCCAGGGGCATGCGGAAGTGGACTGGTCACCGCACCTGAGATGCCCGTCGCACTCCAAGTTGCCATGCGCACTGCTGGACGTGCCTTTTGTGTATCCACCCCTGTAGGATATTAAAAGCGTACTGAAAGATTCCTACAAAAGAACCAACAGGGAAAAGAACAGTTGAAATCCACAAATATCACATCCAAACCGTTTTCTAGACAAATAAGGGCCCCTTAGTGCCTCCTTGAATAAAAGCCCTCAAAAAGGATCACTATTTTGCCCCTTGGGAGCCCCAGTGCTGGAAGCGTGAACACTGCTCTGCCACCATAAGTCAAGCCAGAATGCCATCCAGTGGCTCGCAAGGCTCGCGGCTGCGCAGAGAACCCCCCCCCCCCCCCCGCACCCCCCGACGTCTGCCTTGCTTGAAACCCATACAAAACCGCATCAGCAAGGGTGCGAAACCAAAAGGACATCAGCCATTGTGTGGGTCTTCGCGCTTTTGACCAACCCTCACCCCCAAGCGTCAAGCTGCTGGGGGCCGCGTCTTCCGATGCATCCCCCGCAGCGCGGGCCATGGCTTCCCAAGCGAAGCGTGGTTAACCGCCGGTGCCATGGCACATGACTTGCTTTTAGATGGGCAACCTTGTTGACCAGCAGATTTAACAAACTGTTCAATCACAACTCGGACATGCCATGGAGCGTTGGTGCAAGCTTTTGTGGGCAATGGGGTGTGGGTGTGTGGGTGCATGTTGGAACTTGCAAACTTGCATCTATGGATGTCTCCAAAAACATTCAGCATGGAAAGGTCTACCGCAACCTCGCGCCGCCGCTTGAAACATTGCCAGTGTGCATGGCCCTGTGCTTTCTTCGTGGGCAACAGCTGCGCTGATTGCGCGCGAAGGCCGGCAGCATCGCAGCCTTTGCACATTCATCGCCTGCACGCAGCCATCCCTGTTGGAAATCAAGCCACCCCCCTCCCCCCCAACTAACATGGAAGCTGACACGGGGGGTCCTTGAAGACAATTTTGCTTTAAAAGGACCCCCCCTGTCAGGTTGCATGTTGATTGGTGGGAGGGTGATGCAGGCAAGCCAGATTGGCTACCAATCCCGGAGCTGACCTCCAAGCTAGCAAGCCCGGATACAAAGGAGGCGAAGGAGGGCTCTGATAAACAAATGATCGCTGATACGATTTCCCAGAAAGAACAAAAGGTAAAGTGTGCAAGAAGAACCCCGCGAGAATGCAAAAAACCAACCATGTATGCCACGTTCAGTCCAGGTCTTCAGAAAGCATTCTGGGGACGGCGTCGCCAACCCTCACACCCGTCCTGCATCGCGCTCACCTGAGAGCTGGGCGCCAAGGGGCTGACAAATCAAAATCAAAGGCCATGGCCCTTCGCACTTAGCTGGATGCCAGCAAATCAAGCCATGCCACCAGCCATTTGGGACTTCGCAAAAGATGCGCCCCGCGTTTTCTTTCGCCACTGCCAATGCCAACTGCACCAGAGCTTGACTCGGTTGCAGTTAAGGAGGGCCCTTAAAAGGCCCGGCCTTGGAAAAAAGGCGTGCGGCACGCTTGCCAAAGCGAGAATTCGGACGGGCGTCGAGTTCCGGGCTGAGACTACACCTACGAAATTGCAAGGCCAGGACGGGATATGGCACTTGTGTTGCCCGAGGTAGTGACACCGTTGCCCGAGAAACGCGTTGTTGCAACAGCCAACAAACTTTGGGTCCTTCCGCATTGCTTTGGCAAGACGAACGTCACGTGAAGCTGCCAATTGGGAAATGTGTGTAGTTTCGTTGTCCTACATGCACCCCCATTTGGGGGACTCGGCTGTGTATATATACTTATACTAATATGCACACCGCCCAGATTCCGGACGCCCTCTAGGAACCTGACACCCCCAGCTTCCACCCGCGTCTTGCAGGCAGGTGCTTGAAGCCAATCTTCACGTTTGGCTTCCGAGGGCGAACCCTTTGCACTCGAAGCACAGCACAACACTTAGCTTGGACAAAGAGCCCCTTGCAAGATCAGGTGTCCGCACATGTCCCCAAAGCACATCACCCCAAGAGAAACTTGTCCTAAATGGGCCAACCTGAAGGTAATGCGTCCACGGAAAATAGCTGAGATCCGTTCACAGGACGTGCATTTCGGCGAGCAATGGAGGCGTCTCCAGCACCTGGGTGCGGAAGCCGAGGGGTCCAAATGGGATGGACCCGTTTTGAAGGGAAGCCAAAGGGAAACCACCTGACCCATAAGAACGACCCATCACATGGCTGTGGGTCAAAAAATAGGTACTGGCCCTCTGGTGGTTTGACTTTGACCCACACCCAAATGGGTGGTTCCTATGCGGAATCCCCTTTGTACAGGGTTACCTTTGTTCTTGTCCCTTTCCAAACATTCAAAATGAGCTTGCGTTGTGACACTCACCTTTGCTCATTCAAGCCGTGCTACCGACCGACGCGTTGAGGCGATCTAGGAAAAACGGGTCACACTTCTAGCACCAAGCGAAACCTCAAGCTGTCCAGTTTTTCAGGGCACCTGATTTTCTTTGCAGTGATCCGGCCACGCTCTGAGTTGACTGGTGCAAACGACCAAATGTCAAAGCTGAGCGCAGCCACAACCCAGCCAGCCTTCCAACCAGCCAACACACCAACTCACCAACTCACCTGGCTGTGGGTCAAAAATGGCACCTTGGTAAATGCAACCAAAGATTAAACCCTGCCTAACGGTGGCTCTTTCATTTTGAGCCACACCCACCTCGCAAAGCAGCAAAAAACAGCCTTTCCCTCGTTCCCCCCTCCCCCCCTCCCCCCTCCCATCTCCCCCCCTCCCCCCCTCCCATCCCCTCCCCCCCTCCCATCCCCTCCCCCCTCCCATCCCCTCCCCCCCGCCCCCCCCCCCTTTTCCTTTTCCCGTTTCGAGCTCCGCGGCACCAGGGGCTCCCTGGGCTGCGGCAGCCTCTCGGGCTCAAAGGACCGCACCAGCAGCTGGGCCTCCGTGTCCGGCCAGGCCTCCGGACGACACGTGGCACGTGGCGCAAGCCGCCAGGCCGCGAGGGTCTTTCCGTTTGGGGTACTCTCCCACCAGCCAGCATGGACGTGCACAAACCCCTGTAGAAAGACGACTTTCCTCTTGGAAAGGGACCTCTGTAGAAAGACTGGTGTGGCTCAAAATGAAACGATCGGAGGGGCAAACCGCAGGTGCTTTCCATGTTTCCACTTACCAGGGCAAGCCATTTTGGTACCCGCTTTTTGAGCCGCACACAAAACCCTGTAGAAGGACGACTTTCCTCTTGGAAAGGGTCTTTTGGCACTTCCATGTTAGTTGGTAGGAGGGTAAACCATGCATGGATCGTTGTTTTTTTGAGGGGGTCCCAAAAAAACGTTTTGTGGTTTCCCTGTAAAACCACAAGGGGTACCCTCAACAAAGACACACCCAGTTATTCTTCATGGTGTCGGGCTGGGATTCTGTCGACGTGGTAATTCGACGAGTTGGTGCGTTGGTAGGTTGGGCTGGGTTGGGCTGGGTTGGTTGGGTTGGCTGGGTTGGTTGGGTTGGTTGGGTTGGTTGGGTGGGTCGGTTGGGGGAAGGGCAAGCAGTGACGAAATGAGAAGAAGGAGGAGAGGAGGAAGAAGGGGAGAGCAGTGACAGGAGGAGGAGGAGGCGGAAGAAGAAGAAGAAGATGAAACAAAATGGACAACATCCAGGGCGTCCGGTGCCGTTTGCTATTTGGGGACCCACCGGATTTCACAAACGTGGCGACCATGGGTAAGACTTTGCAGGAGGAAATCAATCTAGATGCCACCTTCCATAAGCACTTCTTCACCCTTTGCTCCTGGTCTCGTAGCATGTCGAGCAGCTGTTCCAATGCGAACGGCATGGCTTCCTCTGATCCACCCTTCTCGCCTCTCCGCTTGGTTACGCTGTTACTTCAAGGTGGGGCCATTTCCCGTCACCTGGCCATCCATGGCTCTCCGTGTTCTAAAGCCAACACATAGAAGCAACCGGGGCAACAGGGTTTCATGCCTTTTCTTTCAGCCATGCCAGAGGCGCCCGTTGATGGCGGATCCGGACACCATCCACAAGTTCATCACGGGTCACGACGAATAGCCAGCAATCAAGGCTCCCCGGAGTGAGGGTAGGCGCAGTTTGCTAGATGTCCATTTCAGCCTGTGAGGTGAGTGCCAGACTCCCCTTCCCTCAGGCAGGTACCCTCATGCTGAGAGCTCCCAGGCTTCAATCCTCTCATTGCCCACCTCTTTCAACGCCCTGGCCCTCAACAGGCCAGAAACAGTGAAGCCACAGGAACCCGAACCCAAATCCTTTAATCCAAGCCTAAAACTCCAAAAGTCCCAAGCCCCAAGAAAACCAAACAACTAAACAAAAAACCTCAAGGAAACCAAAACCCCAACTCACCAAAACCCAAAACCCGGGCCTCCTGCAGTGCCGAAAGCGCCTCCTCCGCACTCCCAAAACGCCCTTCGGGCGGCGCAGCGCCAGGCGGTGCCAACATCCGCCGCAGCCAGGGGTCGAGGCCTTGGGCTTGCCCGCGGGTAAAGGGGGATCCCGTCTGTGGGCGCCCCCTTAAGATAACCAAACGTGGGGCCCTTCTTCTGTGGGGGATCCCTTCTTCATCGCTTCTTTTCTGGGGGCCCTCTCTGTGGGGCCTTTGTGTAAGGGCCCAAAAGTGAGGACGCTCAGGGGCCAAAAGTAAGCTGACATGAAAGAGGGACATGAAATCGCAACAGGGTACGAGTACTTGTGCAAGATATCTGTGTGCCTTGAGGATGGAAACACGAGTCGCCAACCATCGAGTCCAGTACTGTTGATCCAGTCGCGGCACTGGGATTGATCGGTGCTCAAAGAGTAGTTCGACTGGATCTGATGAACCGCCCTCCAAAGGTGGGGCGGGGAGGGGGGGGGAAGGGGGGCTTGCCAAAATTGCAGTGGTGGACATCTTTCTGGGGATCCCAAAAAGATTACAAAATTGGCACCAGGATCCGAAACCGCATCCCCAGGGGTACCCCCCTGCTCTTGATCACACAAATAATTCTCGCTTGGAAGGTCGCTGTAAGCGATCCAGAATGTGACAAGATGAATGGGATCTGTACAAAGCTCATTGGCAGTGGTTTTGTTTACGACTTCTGCTTGGGGAATGGTTGGGGGGCTCAAAGCAAGTGGCAGTATCGCCTGAGACCTCCCGTTCTTCCGCTTTGCAAGCCAGAGGTGTCGTATGTGAATGCATAAGCTGCAGTTTCAAAGATACTTCTTGTCAATTTGGCCCATTGCCCTCTGAACATGGCCAGCGGATCTCAATGTCCTGGGAAGGCATGCGTGTTGCTTCCTAACGTTAACCCCGGATTAATCACCCCCTGGTTGATTTTGATTGGGGGGTGTCCAATTCCTTTCAGTGAGGATTCCAAACACTTTTGGAGGGGGTGTTCCCCCCTAAATCATGGGACGGGTTCTGCTTAGATCCTGGGTCGCCTTCGAAGTCTCCGGCTCCCGCGCCTTGGTCGCCCAGCGCAAGGGAAGCCGCGGCCAGCTCCTGGTACGTCTCCAGGAAGAGGTGCTGCTCGGAGGCGTCCGCAGGATCCTGCGATGCGCAAACCACATGCCGCGGTGCCGCGGTCGGTGGCTCAAGGTGCGGTTCCTTGGGATTGATACGGATGGTCGGCCCGATTGGATCGTGGGAAGGATTCCTATGAAACCCATGGCCCGCAGTGAGAGCTTGGATGGCACACATTGCCTCCGCTTTTTACCTCCCGACCTTTTCCGCTCTCGAAACGGTCAGAAATGACACCTGGCAGGGGCCAAGACCAACCTCCAACAAGGTTCGGGTCATGGTTCTCTTGGTTGGGAGTGCGGCCGTTTCCACATCATCAAGAGGTTGACGACCATCCCTGCTTACCCTGAATAGATTGTTTACGTTTGACTGTCAGACTTGATCAGCCAATTAATGAGCTCATTTTCCAGGGCAATCCAGTAGGGAATGCAAGGTCATGGGGTCTTCAACTGAGAAACCCTTTTTTGGACGGGCTTGGAATGGAGTTTCCAAGAGGCCAAAAATTGGAGGGTGCCGTTGGAAGGCTCTCACACTCCATCTGGTCAAGCAACACTGGGCCCCCTATTTTTCGACCAAATCAACCAAAAAGGACACCTATGCTCAGTACACCGCAAAGACAACACAAGTGATGAAGAAACAATGCGATTCAATCCCGATGTTCCACAAGCGACATGTTGCTGGCTAGAGGCACGGCTCTAGAAGCTGTCGAGGCGGCTTGATTGCGCCAAGGTTGCAGGCCCGAACCCTAAAATTCCCGTACCCCAGGCTGCACAAAAAGGCGCTGCGTATTCATCACAGCAAGGAACCCTCAGCATGGGTGTGTCTGTCGAAATAGGGGGACCCAACACGATTGGCTTTCTTTTGGTTCCAACCTAAAAAATCGGTACCCCCAACAAAAACACCCGTGTCAACCTCAACCATGTACACCACACGCCGAACCCACCCACCCCCAGCCCCCCCCCCCAGCCCCCCCGATATGATGGACACTTAGGGTCTATTTTGCAACCTCCTTTCATTTGGGGTATTGCTTCTTAGGGCTCCAGGGCTGCAAAATTCCCCCCCCCCCACCACCCCCCACCGCCAGCCCTCCCCCACCACCCGCCACAGCGCCCCCGCGCCTCGCCCCGCAGCAGCGCGCAGTGGCACAGCCGCCGCAGCCGCGTCGCTGCACCTCCCGGCTCCGCCGCGCGGAACTGAGCGCCGTGCAGCGCCTGCGGGGGGCAAAATCGCACCGGAGGTTTGGGCCGTGGGGTTCTTCGGGGGGCTGAGTTTTGTTCGGTTCGGGAAATCAAAAGGAAAACCACCATTTCTAGCTTATGTGCTATGGGTGTTGTTTGCTTCTTCTTCTTCTTCTTGTATTTTTTCCCGGGGGGGGGGCAGGGGCGGGGTAAGATTCCCCATTTTGACGAATACCCAACTGGAACATGGAACCGACCCTCTGGTGGTCTTTCCATCACGCGCCTGTGCCGCCACTGCAGCCAGGCGGAAGAGGTCCGTAGAGGGCGTCTCCACTGCCTCCAGGGGTCAGGGTGCCTGCGACAAATGTGGCGTGCACAGGAAGCCTTTCGAAGAGGGGAAGTGCTCTTCCAAAAGGGGTCTGCGCAACACGGCAAGGCCAAACAGGCGGGACATTCATCGCAGCTTGGTGAGTGTAGTCATTGAGGACGACTGGGCAAGACACACATGACATCCGCGGCGAAAACTGCCAACGCATAAGACAAACCTCTCAGGGAGCGCAAGGCATAGAACGACATGTCCATGACGTCTGCATTTTTTTCTCTGAGCACTGCATCTGCGATCAACTATCAACATGTTATTTTTTGGCGTGCAAGTCGAATATTCCCAGCTGCCATACTGCGCACGCTTTGCACGCTGTGGGCCTGGCCCGTGTAGAGGGTCACGTACTGCTCAGGTGCGGAGAAAACCTCGGCTCTTCCCCTTCTTCCCCTTCGTAGAGTCATAAAGGGCCTATCATCTTTGGTGATTATTCAAGCACATTCTATGACCAAATATGCTTCCTGGGAAATGCATGTTTGGGAAAGTGGCAGATGGTTTCGGGCCTGATTCCAGTTTGAGATGCAGGACATCCACGGCAAGGCCCGCACAATCGTCTATGCATCAGTGGTGTACATCATAGCTATTCTGGTCAAAAGGGAAGTCCTATGCGTTGAATGAAGCCCCCACATGTCCAAAATGTCACTTGCGGTGCTTCCTCTCTGGGCGGCCCTTGTTCGTCAGGTGCCATCCCGCGCTTGCCAACACTGTCTTCCAGGACTTCAAACCCGCCAGTGCGGACGTATGGTAAAATCCCCCTGGCGCAAAGACATCAATCCAGGGGGCTTCAGGTAGGTCACAACTGGAGCATCATCTACATGAAAGGGTGAGCTCTTCTTGCCTAGCAACGGGCTAGAAAACTGGCCCCTGGAAAGGAAAAGAAGAGCCGATACAAAAGTTCCAACCCTTGTCGTAAATCCCCTGCTCCTAGCTGGATGCGTTGTTCGACTGCGGGGCTTCCTTCGAGCACTGCTGTGCTGTTGAAGTCTCACCCATTTGATCCCAATATCTAGCCAGGCGAGGGCTTTTCTCATCTCTCGTGGCAGATGCGCAGCGAAGCAGGAACACCTATGGCACTTGACGACGTGAGGCCTGGTGTTGACACCTCTGTCCAAAACTTGAAGGAACTCGTTTGGCTGTCCTTTGGGGAAAACCAAAGAAAGGAGGACAATCATGGGCCTTAGGCCCACCTTCTATGATACCACATAAAGCCCGTTCAAAGTGATGAACTAGTGAGATGAATAGCCCAGTTTGGTCTCACAAGGGGGATTTTCCACAACCACGTTGAGGATCCATCCCAAAGATCTTGACTTCCAACCATGAAACTTTGCCAAACGTCAGTCACCTAGGTTTATCCTGGGGCGCTTTGGTGCTCCCTCTTACCCAGCAAGCAGCTAAGTTTCCGCAGGGGTCTAAGTCTGGTCAAGAAATGGATGGTTTCAATCATTCCCCAAAATATCGGCCAAGGAATGCTTGGTTCCCTTTGGGTGGCCTCCCTGAGGGGCTTTCAATCAGATCAATATGGATGCCCATGTCGAAGGTGAGCTTTTGGCAATCTGGCCAGGGGTCAAACCCAAATCGGTTAGCCCCCAGTGAACATCCCGATGCAACCACTAAAATAGGTTCTAAAATGGGTGGTGAATTCACCTATCCCAAAATGGGATCCCATTGGTTTTGACCTACACCCATATCGACTAAAATAGGAAACCTAAAATGGGTGGTGAATTCACCTATCCCAAAATGGGATCCCATTGGTCTTGAACCATGGCCATCTTAGGACAGCTTCCGCTTGCCACGCTGCCGAGGGCTCCACCAACCACGTCGTGCTTAGCCGGGGCTGCGCCAGCAGGGAGGGAAGCCTCAGACGGCACAGCCGCCAGTTGGGTGTGCCGACTCCCCTGCAACCCCAAAGCGGGTCCCCTGAAGGAGATTCCTTGTTGAACGAGGGCTTTGTTGGATCCATGTTGATCTGGGGAGTGAGCGGGTTCGGCCTCTTGGATGGGGTTTGAAGAGAAACCAGAAGGAAAGCTGGTCACTTCTTGGATAGCCTATTGTTTGAGCTCTTCTGCCATCGGGGTCATGGTGTCATGGTGTCATGGTGCCAAATGCTGCTGCTGCTCTGCCTTGAGTTCTAACCAGGTCCGGCACACTGCATCTTTAAGCTGGAGAACTGCGGCACGGGCGTTTTTAATTCCGTGACTTAGCATGATTCAACAGATGGTTCCATGCATATGGAACAATATTCTATCGAGATGACAATAGCCCCATGGCACAGACTCTTTCAGACGCTGTGAGAGTTCACAGCGGATTGGTGATTCCCTCCAGCACGTGCGGGAAATCAGTGTGGTTTTGTTTCATTGCGGCATGTGTAGCCAACGGGTGGTTCTCTTCCACCTTTGTACTGGCAAGAATGTGGCGCCCTGAAACACTGCTCGTTGTCAAACCTCCTCTCGTCTGCTGTTGGCCGATGAGAGTTACAGTACTAGGCAGCCAGGCATCAATATGTTTGCCGTGGATGAAATCAGGCCAACCTTCAATTAGTGCATCACAAGGAGACACGCCCGAGTTGAATGCCTGTCAAGGATCTGGGGCGAATGTGAATGCCATCATTTATGGAGAGGGTGAGTTTTAGGCGTGCAATCGAGGATTCTTTTGAGAACCCGAAAGACCCTGACAGCCAACAAATGGCCCAGAGCTGCTTCGATGGAAATTCCAGACGAGAAAAGTCCAGAAACCCTCCCTTGGAGCATCCCACGACCATATGGCCATGGGTCAAAATCCCGTACCCCCAGTGAACATCCCAATCCCCACTAAAATAGCCTAAAATGGCTGGTGCGCCTACCCCAAAATGGGATCCCATTGGTTTTGACCCACACCCATATCGCCCTCTCAAGCGCTTCGCTTCTGTCGCGGCGCTGTTGCACGTGGACATCAGCGCGGTCGTCTTTCCGCATGGCGCGGGACCAGCCGCAGATGAGGCCGGAGGGCAGGGCCTCGGGCGAGGCCGGACGATGAAAAGGGCGGTTGCTTTAGGAGACACATCTAGGGAAAACCCATTTTGGCTGGTTTTATATAAGGGGAACGAAACCACGTGTCGTGCTTCTTTTCTTCTTCTTTTCGTTTTTTTTTGGGGGGTCCACTCAACAAAGACACGCCCATATCCCAAGTTGGGGCATGGCACCTGTTTTGAGGGTACCATCCCTTTTTGGTTAGTTGGTTGCTTTGAAGGGAAACCACTTGCGAGTACGGGGGGGGGGGGATCCGTTTATGTGGCTGAGGAGCTCGCGTTGAAACATCACCCCCACCAAGGGACACTCGCGTTTCATGTGCCAAAAAGGTGATATTTAAAACCACCGCGATCCTTTCGACCACTCCCCTCGTGTGAGAGCAGCCCCTGTGCATGTCAGCACAGCAGTACCATAAAGGCGCTTGACACAAAAAAAAGAAAAATCAAGGGAAATATAGGGACCAGTGCCCAAATTGAAGATTGCTTCCCTAAGGTCAAACGGGATTGGCTGGCGTTTGCTAAGCCCATCTGGTCCTAGAGCCGAAGTGACGGCTTTCCCACTAGTGGAAAATTTGCTGCTTGACAGACCCCTGGAAAACGCGACAAGGCACAACGAGGACCAAGGGGGAAGAGACAAGTCCTGGCCCCGGTCAGCAGTCGTTCCCTTCAGGAACCTTGCCATTACCATCCCACCAGCGATCTTTAAACACCATCCCAGACGGGAGGGTTGGGCCCAATTTCTTTGCGAGTTTGGTGGCTCAAACCTTTCCAACTCTCCGGGGGTCCTATGCAAACCACTGAAACATGAAAACGAAACTTTTCCGATGAGAAGCTGCGTACGAATACTGAGTTGCAAGACGGCAACATTGGATTTAGCTCATCCCATGGGACAGGCTGCAGGCTTCGTCACGAAGCAAAAACCCCTGCTGCTCAAGACCCCTGAATACCCTTACCTGTGCCAACACGGATTCACTCAAGCAATAATATCATACTGCTGTGCGCTGCATAGCGCAGCGTCTTGCTTGCGCCGGCAAAGCTGTAAGTCATGCCCATGCTCGTGGTTGGCAAATTGCGGCTGGAGTCACAGCCGCTGTGCGGATGCGCGACAGGCTTGGTCACATTTGAAACAAGCCTCCGGCTAATACACCATGATGCCGGCCAATTGAAACAAAAAGGCCCACCCCAAACAACGGTTTCAAGAGGGAATGCCAAAAAACGGCAGTTCACATGAGGCAAAACGCAGAGAAGACATCGGGGCGGTTTCGGACGAAAGCCGACGTCCGATTCCTGGGGCGCCGGGCTTCCTGTGCCTGGCGCACTGAGCCACCAACAGACCTGGAAGGACCAAGTGAGTCAGAATCAAAACCCAGTATTAAAATGGTCGTAATCCCAGAACCATGCTTCAAGAACTAAGAAGGCGGCTGCAGCTATTTATGGTTGGGATTGTCCCTTACTAACCGTCATCTACCCGGGTTTTGATTGTTGCTCAAGTGGGTCTTTGTGGGGTGATGCTCAAAACACCCAAACAAGGAAACTACTGCAGATGGGCATGTGCCAAAGTCAAAATCGGGGGACCCCAAAAATCCAAAATGGCCAAACGGCTTGCTTGTTGGTTCCCATTGAAAACCAACCCCAAAGGGTACCCTCAAACCAACCTACTCCCAAGTGGCTTTGAGGGAGATACGAGACCATCGCCCAGAAATCAAAGACCCAAAAGCTAGAAAAGGGGAGGCAATGACCCACGTTCGGACACAAAACGAGGCTTCCGGGGGCCGTCCCCCGATTGTTTTGCCGTCTGGTTGGGCTTCCATACTGAGACCAACCTGATGGACCCATGTTGGGCACATTCCTGTGATCTCGAAGAGGCCTTAAGCTTTCGCTGTGCACTCTTTGACGGCTCATTGAAGGCGCATTCTGAAAAGCCCCAAGAATCTGCTGTATCTCTGGCTCGGGCGCCTGGGTCCGAATCGATTCGGTTCAAGGCATCTCTGAAAGTTGGCCTGGCATGGGACTTCCTTTTTATGCCCAAATCTACCAGGGTCAAAACAGTGTCTACCCCTGAAGGGTGGATGCAGACCGCCCTTGTTGAAGCAAAAGCCCCAAACTGGGCTCGAACCTTCAAGCGACAAATTCTGAGGAAGCATCGATTATCTCATCCACTCATTTCCTGAGTGGAGGAGCCCATGAAAAGGACAAACCACCTGTGTCCCAAAGAAAGCAACGGCCTTCCCGAAAGCATAGCTGCTTCATATTTCGCCCCACCCGAAAACCAGATGTTTGATTCTGGCCCATATTCAGTAAGACCTTAAGATGCATTGAACTGGCCAACTGCAGCCAGTTGCACGGGTCGAAGATCAGCAAGTCCTGGGCCAAGTGGCAGAAACCGAACCCGGATGCCGCCGGATGCCTCCGGTTGCACGGACTGGGATCCCAGGTCAAGGAACCCCGAGTGAGAAGGACACCTCGTTTTTTGTAAGGAATATCCCAACTTTAGCCAAGAAAAGAAAAAAGGTTGGGACATGGAATATCCCCAATCTTTCGCAAAAACATGCCCGGCTTCGTTCGTTGATTTTGAATGGCTGGTTCATTCTTCAGGTTCCCAAGTGAAGCTGGGGATCCAGCACACTGCTCAAGAAACGGCATGAGAGATGGCAAAGTGAATGACTCTTTACACAGCAACAGCTAGCCCAAAGATTCGAGGCAAGCCGGCGTTCAGGCAAACCGAAAGCCATTCAAAAACAGATCAAAACGTGAATTGGGAGAATGTTTTGATTTTGAGGAATGGAGATGGGACACGCCCATTTTCACCATTAAACCAAAACCCAATAGAAGCAAGTAAAACGACATCGTGCATTTAGCAACAAACCCATTTGATGAGTCCAACTCGTGGACCACGAAATGCGCGGGATTCATGGCCACCGGCCACTTCTGCAGATGGAGGTAAGGGGGACCCATGGGCTTGCGGCCCTCCAAACAAGGGGCCTGGCATGGGTGTCCTTTTAGAGGAAATAGATGGCCCTGGTAGATGATTAAACCACCAGGTAAACCAGGGCCATCTATTTTTCTACCAAAACAACCAAAAAGGACACCTATGGGGCCTGGGTTCCCCGGTCTCGTGAACTTTAGACCCGAGACCCGAGAGACCCAACAGACCCGAAACTCCTTGGGCTGGAGGTCCGCATGCACCCAGCCGCGCTGGTGCACCTTGAATCGATTCGTCACATCCAGTCGACAAAGCGAATTGGCGAATTGGTTCTGCCTGGAGGAGCTCTGGATTTCCGATTTCCACTTTCCTGCTTGCCTGGACTGCTGGCTGCCCTGGTTGATTGGCTTCATTTCGAATTGCTTGGCTTGAGTACTGCTTCGCTGAAGTGCGGCTCACAACTGCCGGGAGCACGAAAGAAAAAAGAACGACTGCCCAAAAGAAATGGAGGATCAACATCCAGAGCTTCAATGTCACTCCCAAAAGGCAGCTGAAGTGAGACACGGATGGACCAAATCCTGCATCAGTTGGATAAAACCCTATGGAATTTTGGGGCAAACCACCTATCCACCAGTTCGGTGGAGGAGTTGTTGTTCATCCGCACCAGGTTCCGCTTAAAACAAACAAAAAACAAAAACCAAAAAAAAGAAGAAACGGACCCATCGCGGAAAAAATCGTGCGACGAAACCAAAAAACGCACTCCGCGCGGAATTTCGGATCGGATCGGATCATCGCGTCCGCCTGCTCCAGGGTCGCCAGGAAGAACTGCGCCGCGCGGTAGATCTCCACCACCGGCCGCACGCTCTGCAGCTCCTATGGGTGGGGTGAGGGGGGGGGGGGGAGTTCGAGGGGAAAAAGACACCGAAAAAAACCGCGGGGAAGGACAGGTCCCTGAAAAATGTGGCAAAGATGTGGAGTGTTCCAAGATCACGTTCGAAACACACTCCACAAAATGTGCCAGAACGGTCCCAAAACACACAGAAAACAAGTTCCCGGCAGGCTTCACATGCGGGGCCTGCAGGCTGGGCATGCCGCTGAACTCCAGCGCAATCGCCCGGATCCCCAGATCCTCAAAGAAGAAGGGCTGGCCAAACAGCCTGCCGCGGGCACCCCAAAGGGATCAGCTTCCCAGGAAAATGGTTGGGCTTCCTTTTGTCTTCCCGGTTTCCCCTCCAAACCATCCAAAACGGGGCTCAAAAAAAAAGAAACGCCGTTGCATCACTCTGCCCCGTCCTGGGCACCCCTTCGATGCCCCGCAGACTGTCGAGCACCTGCCACTCGTGCTCCACCCAGCCGTCCAAACTGCTGTCGTAGGGCACCTTCACCAGCACCCGCCGCTCCTGGCGAACACTGGCCGCGTGGGCCGAAGGCGGCTCCGAACGGAAGGAAGGCCGAACAACGCCGGAAGGACGGCGTGCGCCCGTCGTCTTTTTGGGGAACCTCGTTGGTGTTCAAGGCGAAGCAAAGGAAACAACTTTGAGACAGACGCACTCACCCCCTATGCGAATGCAGCAGATTCATTGGGGTTGGTGGCATGTAAACACCAAGGCCCAAAACAGCTCAGTGTCCCCAGTCGCAAGTCACCTTGCCCTCTCGCGTCGCTCCTGGTCCAGCGGGTCTGCGGCGGGCCTGAAGCGGACCCTCATGTTGCGCTCGTCGCGCGTGAAGAAGTCCTGCAGCCTCAAAGGCGGAAGCTGGGGATTCCTAGGATGCCGAGGTGTTGGCATGCTGTGCTATGCATGACAAGATGCGAAGAATGAACAACCAAGCAAGCCAGCAGCAGCACAGCAGCAGCAGCAGCAGCAGCAGCAGCAGCACAGCAGCAGCAGCAGCAGCAGCAGCACAGCAGCAGCACAGCAGCAGCAGCAGCAGCAGCAGCAGCAGCAGCAGTAGCAGCATCGGCGGCAGCTGCAAGAATGAACACGAAGCATGAACAGGGGCAAGAATGAACACAAAGTATGAACATGGGCAATGGATGAGGACAAGGAGAGAATAAAGCAAGGAACGAACAAGCAAAGCAAGCAAAAGGAGAACCATCTTACATCAAAATATCATTTCAGACTTCTAGCCTTGCCTTAAGACTGAACCTGTTTTGCGGGACCCCAAATAATGATCTCAAGTCGCGTGGACACCAAGAGCATCGAACAATGTCTGTGTGTGTGTGCGCCCATTGTTCCTAAACAAAGAGACAAGGAAGTACAAGTTATGATTGCAACAACCTGCAAGTTGTCCCACGCCTGTAATCTGCAAACTCTATACTCAGACAACTTCAGACAAAGACCTTGTCTCAGGCCTAAATCTTTGCGGGCTTTAAGCGGTTGGTTTGAAACCCCAGACCTCGGCCCCAGCTGCATCACGAGTCCGGGCCTCTGCCTGTGCTGCGCATCCTCAGCCACCACGCAGACGATGCGCACCGCATAGAGGCCTTACGAAGCAGAGGCCAATGCCCTGGGCCGTGTGCCACGTGCAGAAGTCTAAGATGGCTTTATGAGCCGAGCATGCGCCGGGAAACAGCGCCTTGCCAGGTTTGGTGCACCACACCTTGCAGGGTCTAACAGAGCTCAGACGCACTCAGCACGTACAGCTCCAAAGCAAGCACGCCTTCCTGTAGTGCCATTGAGTCAGATCCAATTAAGCAAAGAAACGCAACGGAACGGGTCGTGGCCAAAGCATGTCAACCCCAAAAAGGGTACCCTTAACCCCTGCTTTTGTGGCTTTAACGGAGAACCAAAAGGAAAACCACAGTTTCTTGGGGGGAGGGTCCGATTCCGAAACCAAACACACCCATACTGTGGATGGACGACATGCTGCAGCACCTAAGAAACCCTACAATGATTTATTTGTAAGTATCAACAAACAATGGTCTCAAACATGGCTTCATTCGGCGGTGCAAGTTCGGATTTCGCGGTACCATCCACGGTTTGTTGACCCCATATTGATCAACCCCAGTTTGTAGATAGGGGGGTGTCCCTGCGTTTAATTTGGAATCAGGCCACTGTTGGAGGGGTTTCCACCCCCCTGTTAATGAACTGCTTGTTTGATTCATAGCGGGTCACCATGATTTTCCCACGGCGCGAGCTCGGATTTCGCGGCACCATCCTCTGTTCTTGTTGTTCATTTGTTTTTTTCTTTTCGGACTCTCAAAACTTTTCCGGTGTCCCCCGCCGTTTTTGGTTTTTTTTTTGGTTCTCGGACTCTCCCCGGCTTTTTTCCAGCCTTCCAGGTTCCCCGTCCAAGGCGCTGTAGCCGTGCACCTTCTGCACCGCCAGGTGCTCCGCCAGCCACGCGCCCCGCAGGCGCTGGCTCTCCCGGAGCCCCAGGGAGCGGCTCCGCGGCACGGAGCTCGCGAAGTCCCAGAAGTCCTCGGGCGGAGCGAGCGGGACATCCAACGCAGAGATGCAGGGGAAAAGACCAGAGAAGGCGACTGGAGGAGGTGGTCTTCTTCTCTTTTTTTTTGGGGGGGGGTGGAAGATATGGTGTGTTTTTTTTGGGGGGGGCGAATCTGCCAGTGGAGGATATGGAAGATGTTTTTTTGGGGGGGCAATCTGGAAAACCAGTCGAAGGTATGTTGAAAGACTGGAAGATCTCTTGGGAATCTAGAAAACCAGTGGAAGATAGAAGACTTTTTGGGGGGGAAATCTAGAAAACCAACTGCAACATATGTTGAAATCTTCCGAAAACCCAAACTGGAAGATGTGGTGGAAACCTAAAACTCCAATTGCAAGGTCTATTGGGCATCTGTCAAAAGTGGAAGATCTGTTGGCCATTTGAGAATCCACTAAATCTCCTGGAAATCTGGAAATCGGAAATGCATCGGAAATCCGAAAATGCATTGGATCTGATGGAAATCCAAATCCCGGACACCCTCGGCGCGACAAAGGCCCTCTTGTTGGGAATCACCCCGCAGCAAGGTGGTTGCATGCGTCTTGGGCTCGGCTTGGCTGGGTTTGAGAACAAACGAGCCTCAAAGCAAAACAACAAACCTTGATCCCCCGGAGTAAATGTTTGCCATCAGACAGCAAGCAAAAATGCTTCAAATTCCAACTGGTGTGATTCTTCCAACACTCAAGGCAAGTTCCGTCGGCATTGTATGCGTATTGCATCTACAGTCCAACATGATTGACAAAAAGGCACTGGGTAAATGACGAGAACCAAATTGAACCAGCACGATCTACTGTATTTTCATGCTCTTCCAAAGTGACTTTAAAGGACACCTAAAAGTGAAACCCCCCTCATGTCAAAGATGCATGGAAGAGTGTCCAAGGCATTCCTCTGACAAAGGCTCCCCTTGATTTGCCGCAATGTCAATTCATAGCAACCCCTCACCCGCATCTCGCAAGTGAATCTACAAAGCAAAGTAGTTCGTGTCGTCATTGGCAAGAAACACTCTGCGGTCAAGGAGTTGCTTGCTTTCCTGATGTGAAACAGGAGAATGTCGAATTTCCAGCTGTCAAAAATTGATGTCTGCAGGCCCGGGCACGGCGAGCTTGGCTTCCCGCAGGAAGCAAGCTCGCTCAAAAGCTACGTCGCCCATGGCGACAAAGGCTGGGATAGTGCAACGAGACTCCCGCGCGTTTGTCAGGCACTTTGATTTGTATACTGGAATGGTTGACTATTCTCTGACAAAGCTGCGACTTGGGACTTCGTGGGGTCAGGGCTGGAGTTGTTGCTGCCGCAGGCTTGGAATGAACACTCTGACCTCAAGCTGAGCGGTCACTTGTTGCCTGGCATCTCAGACCTTCAGGCATGCTGTGCGCCCAAGGGCCTCGGGCCTCAAACGGCTTCGCCCTGACACGACCACTCCAAGCGCCAGGGCGTTTAAAATGCGAACGGATGCACCAATGGAGCTCTCGATCAAAGCGTGGCTTGAACATGCGGAAATCATCCGTTGGGCGCCTGAAGATCAGAAGATCCAAGAAGCTGAAGACTACTTGGCGGAATCAGAATCTTTTAGCTATCGTCAAAAGATCAGTCCGTGAAGGTCAGCAACAGCTTGCGTTGCATTGATCGCTTGCCATGCCCAGGTTGTGTCTTGGCCGCTTTAGAGAGGAACTATGACTTTCTGGGATACCCCTTCTTGTTTTAAAGGGGAAATCAAAGGGAAAACACACAGATTTCGGGGTCCCCCTAGTTGCCCACTTGCTGAATGCCACAATTCCTGCCTGCAGCGCTCCATGCGGATGGCACTGAAGTGACTTACACGAATGCCTATGAGTCAGTGCGCTCTCATTTTGGAGCGTTGGCGACGGGTTCGGCTGACCCGAAACAACCAAGGGGCGGGGCCAGGAAGGGCACTGCTCCTTTTTTGTCGTGCCCTATGATTCTAAATCCAAGCCTCTGGGATGTTTGTGTTGCTCGACTTGAGGCGAAATGGCCACAGGAACTCTTGAAATCATCAACTGTCGCGCCTGCTCGCTAAGATCTTACTGGACCATCCGGAACCCCGCAGCTTTGCTTGTCAGGCTTCCAGGAACCTCCAAAATGGATGGTCCCTGTGCCCGTTTGAAACCACCGCAAAAAGGAGAACAGACTGAAAAAGAGGCACAACAAGAGACACGGCAATGAAAATTTGCGCCGGGCTGAGGTGCCGAATTTTCCATGCTTCCCCTGAAGCCAACGCAAGGACCTCTGTCCCTGTGTCGCTTTATGCCGCTTTTCCAGAACCAATCCCCCCCCCCCGGAAGGTCAAGTGCCAGCCAGCCACGTGGGAACCTCCCCTCTGGCTCCTGCCACCCAGGAAGCCCCAAACGGAGCCGACGGAGTCCATAATCCTGGCGGAGAAGGGGGTTACAACGGGAGCTGAATCTCCGGAATCCGCAAGGAACACAGATGGACAAGCATAGGCCCTAAATGAGAGCACCCCTAAAAAATACCTCTCTGCAAGCATCCTGAAAACTTTCACTTGGAATGCCATAGCCAAGAGGTATGTTTACATCGGGATTCATGTCCACCCCTGTTGATGTCCTCCATTACACTTCATTTCGAGGGAAAGTTCAATCCTTAGTGAGGGTTGATCTCCTCCAGAACGTATCCTTGACGGCTGCAGCGTCTCCACTAGCTGTGGCTCTTGGCTGCTATCAAAATGCTGCCTTTGGGACGAGCAGCTTGCCATCTGGCGACCTCTACACATGCTTGGCTGTGGTTTCCCTTGTAAAGCATCCAAACAAAGATACCCATATTTGTTGGAACACTCCAAGTGTGTTGACCCGCATGTCGCCTGAGTCACAAGGGATCCAGCTGAAATCAGCTTGTGGATGTGATATACAGGGGCAAGATGTTTCTTTTGGGTCCGGAAAGTGACATCCTTTTTATTCGTCTGCCCCCAAAAGCCCATGTTTTGGAGAACCGAGCAAGATGCAACCACTAAAAAAATGAAGCAGTGCCGCAAAAGAAAGGGATATGTACAATCAGTGAGATGCAACCGCTTTCAGGGGCGCCAGTCTTAGGAGGTGACACCTGGATCTCATCGCTGGAAAGCTACGCCAGGTGTGCAGATCCGCAGCGTCTGCCATGCCGTCGCGCACAGCGCCGACGGCGCCTGGCGAGATGTCCAGCAAAGCACACCCCGGGTCACATGGAGCATGTGCAATGCAAGGGGAGCATGTACACAAGTGTATATAGATATATATATATATATACATATGAATATAAAAATATATACACATGCACTCTGTAGGGAGAGATACATCTACATGTATGTATGTACGTATGTATGTACGTATGTATGTACGAATGTATGTATGTACGTATGCATGCATGCATGCATGCATGCACGCATGCACGCATGTCTGTATGTATGTATGTATGTATATGTATGTGTATGTATGTGTGTGTATGTATATGCATGTATATGTATGTGTATGTATGTATATGTGTATGTGTATGTATATGTATATGTATCTGTATATGTATATGTGTATGCGTATGTGTGTGTATGCATGTATGTATGTATGTATGTATGTATGTATCTATGTATGTATGTATGCATGTATGTATGTGTCTGTATGTGTATGTATGTGTATGTATGTGTAGGTGTAGGTGTGTGTGTGTGTGTATGTATGTGTGTGTATGTATGTATATGCATGTATATGCATGTATATGTACGTGTACGTGTATGTATATGTATATGTATATGTATATGTATATGTATATGCATATGTATGTTGTATGTTGTATATGTATATGTATATGTATATGTCCGCCGACATTGCTCGGCGCGTCGGACACCCAAGAGAGGGGGGGGGGGGTCCCCCACGTACCGCGCGGTAAGCCGGTGTCGCCAAACAGGGGTCCCAGGCTCGAATCCCCCTGCCGGCTCTTTCTCCTTTTGCCGAAAAATCCGCAAAAACTGTGTGTTTTTGGCCGTCCTCGTTGCGCACACGCTGGAAAAACCGTGTTTTTTGCGGGGAATGCTGGGGAGCACAGGGGAAATGCAAGGAAGTGCAAGGAAGTGCAAGGAAATGAAGGGAGGAAATAGGAAGTCGACATGACAGGAAAGCAACGGGAAATGAAAGGGAAACAAAGGGGAACGAACTGAAAGGGACATGAAAGGGACAGAAATGAAAACAAGGGGAGTGCAGGGGGAATGAAAGGGAAACAAAGGACAAGGCAACCAATCGGCACGACGGGAGATGTAGGGAACTGACTCGCAACGAAAGAACGGGACACGCATGGAAAATGAAGCGGACATACCGAGAAACTGACAGGGACACGAAGGGGGAGTTGAAAGGAATGGAAGGGACATGACCAGGACATCATGGGAAACGTGACAAGGACATGAAGGGGGAATCAAGGGGAAAGCCAGTAGTGAGATGACAGTTCAGGGTCATGAAGGGGCAGTGCCCGGACATCGAGGCAACTCAGGGGGGACGTGACGCTGCAATGCAGAGAGAGAGAGAGAGAGAGAGAGAGAGAGAGAGAGAGAGCGAGAGAGAGAGAGAGAGAAAGAAAGAGCCGTTAAAATTAGTTGGTACTTTTGCTTACAAGTGCAAGTGCTGTAGTGTTCAAACAAACAGTCAACCAATGTAGTCTGCAGCTGCCAACCTTTTCACTCATGCGGAGTAGTAAGCTCAAGGCCTGCGGTAGTGAACATACATGCAACACATATGCAGGAAGTGAAGCATGTAGTTTGACACGGCCCCTCAGTTAAAAGGTCTTCGTAGTACCTTTTTTCAACTGAAGTGCAAAACATGGATTGACAGTAGTGATGAAAACCATTGTTGTTCATCATTTCTACTGCATTGGCAAAAGTAGCGACCTGCGCTCAGTAGTTCACGCTGTTCAGGTTCCAGCTCGATGTAGGGCGCTGGATGGAAGTAGTGAGGCAGGCACTCGTTGTAGTGGAGCATGAGCTCAAAGATGTAGTCCCCATTTCTGGGCGCGATAGTCTTGGACCATCTGGAGTCTGTTGTCCAAGGTCGCGTAGTAATGTATGGTGAAAAATGTTGTCATGTAGTTTGGAGCTCCCCGTAGTCGCTCGTCGTGTGTCTCAGGGCACGACATGTGTTGGTCGTACTCCCTGAGAAAGCGGTGTAGTAGTGCTTTGTGATGTTGAGTGAGGTTTGTCATGGTGAGTAGTGTGAATCCGTAGTACTGTATACTCTTGCAGAGGATGGTAGTAATTGCCTTGTGCTGGAAGTCGTGTAGTTGGTCTCTGTTGTAAAGGTCGTGGAGTAGCTCAGGTAGTAGTAGGGGCATGTGGTAGTTCCAAAGGTAGTTGTTCCTGAGGCTGTAGTTGTCAGTGAAGGTGGTCATGTTGTAGTTCACCTTGTAGATGGTCTGTGGAATTGGTGTAGTCGGGAGGTAGTAGTTCTGTTGTATGGACATCATGTAGGAGATGTAGTCCCTTGTGAAGTGTAGAAACTGTCCTGAAGTGAGGTACCTCAGGAGTAGTGGTTGTTCAATCTGGAGTTGGATGATGATGTAGTTGGTGTTGTCGCTGGTTGTAGTGTGGAGTGAAGTCGTGTGGTAGTAGTGGACGTTGGCTGCTTCAGGTAGTGAAACGCTGAGCATCCGAAGGTCTCCAGGGATGCAGTGAATGGGTCGCGTGTAGTCCAGTTGTGCCAGTGGAGTTGCTTGTTGTTGTGAGAGTAGTTGACACTCTTCAAGTGTGAGTGCAGTGAAAAACTGAGTGTAGGGTGTGTTGTCGGGCAATGGTGGTGTAGCGGTTGTCTGGTGCTCAGTGATGTGTAGTTGGTCCATCACTGTGGTCGGGTTGTAGTAGACCGTGTTGCCAGGTGTAGAATGGTTGAAGTGGTAGTTGGAGTCGTTGTAGGTTTGAGGCGGTGGAGTTCCGTGGTCACTGGAGTCCGTAGTGACCGCCACCTCAGGTGTAGTTGCCCTGTCGGGCGTAGTGGCGTCTCCCATCGTAGCATCTGCAGTAGATGGAGCGGCCATGGCTGCAGTGGAATGCAAAACGTAGTGAAACGGGGCAAAAAACAAAATGAGACTAAGTAGTTGCTATCAGGCAGCCTCATGCTGACGGCCATGTCTGTCATTTACGGCTCTCTATTTGGAAGCATGGCGGCGCTTCAGTAATGCGCTCTACCTTCAGTCTGCTGCCGTGGCCAGTGCCGGC